CAGAGAGCCCAGCTCTGCGGCACGTGTCGTGGCACGATGGCCAGCGCTGGAGAGGTCACGGAGAGCCCCAGGCATCTGTCCTAAGTGCAGCAGAAGCCCACTCGTAGTATCATTGTAGAAGCACAAGCTGCCTGTGTTTTGTTTTCTGTTAACATCCAGCCTGAAGTAATTTCTTCATGTTTTATAATGAAGCAGAACTCTACATAAGAAGGTTTTATTTGCTTGTGTGAGAAGTGACTGCTTTCCCCTCTAGGCTTCTGGGAGCATTAACTTTTTCTGTTAGCACAGGGGTTTTTAAGAGTAAGAGATCAAACTACAGTGCTGGAAACAGTATTTCTGGCACTATTGGACAGACATGACTTATGACCCAGAATCTAGGATAATGTGGGAGATTGAAGCTTTCCCTGCATAGACATATGCACCGAGGTGCATCTGGCAGAGTTTCATAAGTCCAAACTCACTCTTAGGTAGCTTGGCTGGATTAATCATTTGTAGGCCTGGCCATGATAAAGCCTAGGAGATATCCCAGGTCTAGTGACTACTCCTACAAGGACCTGACATCCACTGTGTCAGAGGACTGCAAGGTAAGAAAACATGAGTTCAAGCATGAAAGTTAATGGCAGTGTAGACAACTTGGGAAAACTCATCTCACCTAATTTTGTAGACTCCTACATTGAGTCTAGATGGTTAGTCTCCTTTAAATAGGTCTAAATTTAGGTCTAAATTCAGGAGGAATCCCTCACCACACACTTGAGCTACAGTTGTTACCAAAACTACTCAAAAGGATGCTGTCTCAACTGAGGCAGTTAAAAGTTTAGATGAAGCCAGTCCCTTCAACCTTCCCTTAAAGGTAGGGGAGAGGAGTAGAAGTCTTCGGAGGGTGATTTATTCCAACACCAATATTTCTTACCCTATCAGAATTATCCATCAGGATTTCAAGCAAGTCATCTTCAGTAAACAAAAGTGAAAAAATACTGTCTCCTAACTTAACAAGATTTTTGGAAACATCACTTCACTGAGCTTGTAAAGTATTTTGGAAAATGGTATAGAAGTGTTATTTGTATCTTGCATGCCTGAAAGCATCTGATCTCTTAAGAATGTCTAGGTTCAGGTTGACTATTCAGGAGAAAAAACTAGGGGAAATGTCAAAGATAACCTAATAACTTAAGAGTCAGTATTCATCCCAGCTGCTGCTGTTGCCCACCAGCTTGTTTCCAATTAGCCTCTTCCTTTAAAAAAACAAAGTATAATTTTTAAAATTATTTTTTCAGATATGATACTGATTTCTTGACAAAGCATTGGAAAATGTTTTCTGTTATCAGGCTTTGTGAACTTTCCTCTCTCTATAAAACATCAGAATTATGTTAATTTGGGTTAGAGATGTGTTCAACATTATGAGCCAATATTTAAAATGTACTTGCAAGGGAAGTGGGTGCACACACACTATTGTGCCTTATTGTATTAGCAGGGGGAAGAGGGACTCTAGAGAAGGGACCCTCACCTATGGCTGATGAGACCTGTTGGGAAATACCCAGTCCCGCCTCAATGCAGAAATAAAGTGCAACTCCAGTATTTCATATTATTTAAAACAAAGATCCCACTTGTTTTTCCAAACTGGTGCTGCCTGTGTTCACCACACTTGGAAAGTACAGCTCAGACATTATGTCCCATGAAACATTTCTCCACACTGAATTATGCCCTCTGAACCTGGCAGGGTAATTATGCAATGTAACCGTCTTATAAACTCAGGAATCTGTTTACAAATGATAGCCTTGCAGAGGGAAGAGAGAAATTAAAATACATAAAATGTCCTTTTCTCCAGTGATCCTTATGCTGACTTAACATTTAGCTTCAAGTATGTGAAGGGCACTAGGTGTTTTCCCAAACATTTTGAAGAGCAAGTGTGTTACCTAGGCACCAGCAGGTGTTCTCAGTGCTACTGAGCTTGAATTTTCTTTACCATAACATATTTTTCCCGGTTGTTCCTTACATGTTGATTTGAATAACAAATGCAAGACCTTGCCTAAGCAAAACCAAAACAACTCTGTGATATTCAGTGAAAAGTAGTGACCATCTTTCTTTGACTAACATCAGCAGCTCCTGCCTTGTCCATGTGAGGCAAAGAAAAGTTTGTGAATGGGGTGATACCTGCTCACCATTGCTTTTAGAGCTATCTCTCCACATAACAACATGTTAAACTTTCAGATTTTGTTCTAATTCCCTCTAGTTGGCTCCCTTTCCCTCTCTCCTTAGTTTGTAATCTTAGTTTGTCTCTTCTTGGCAAATTCCAAACTGTCTCACTTACCTGTGATTATTCCCCATTTTCCCCTCCACACTTCCAGCCCCTGGACCTTTTTCCTTTCTGGATGTGATTCTCCCCCCCTGGAGAAAGACAGTATGTAAAAATAAGAAGTAGTAGGCACTGACAGGCAGGTAATATCAGGAATTCCAGAGAAGTCGACCTTCTCTTTAGCATCTTTCTTCTTCTTTTCTCAGCTTTCCACCAGCCAGCACAGAAAGGATCCTAATATCCACAGAAATTCAAGGGTTTCTCAAGTCACTACTCGTAATGATTTCAGACTCCTTCTCTCTGAAACCAGGGTTAAGAGATTAACAACTTCTGCAAGTATCCCTCCAGGCCCACTCAAGCAATAACATGACGCAAACCAGCATGATTCCACTCTAAGGTCACTTATGGCCTAATATGAAGGTGTCTTGACCATTTCAACATCTGACTTGCAGGTCCTCCAGGTCCTCATTATCTTAGAGTGAGAGATGCCAGCCCCTTAACTCTGCTAGCTGTTTCTCCAGCAGCTGTGGGGAATTTAAGAGTGAAAAACCGACGGAAAATAAAACTTCTGCTTTGAAACTGAAGGTGAGCATGGAAAGGAAGACTTACGCACTAAATACCAGAAGTCTGTATTTATCTGCCTTCTCCTGACAGTGCTCCAAGGAGCCTGGTACGTGCTGTATGGCTTGTTAAACTGCTTGTGCTCTCTGCCCCTAGAGGTTAAGCCAATGTATGTCCTATACCAGTGGGAAATGCAATTGATTTTGGCAGTTTTTTGTACCTCTCACAGAGTTAAGCTGCAAATAGAGTATGCTAGCATTTTTCCAGCAGCCTTATTTTCAGAAGATTTGCTCTCACTTATCTTGCCTTCGCTAAGACACTTGACAGCCTTGACAATGATAAAGGACACACTTTTTTTTTTTTTTTTGAACCCTGGTTATAAATGTAATAAAATTTTACAGAAGGGCCCTACCTTACACACACATATGAATAACTCACATAGTATATTTTCTACTCCAGTTCTATTTATGCTTATAGCATAAAGGTTCCCTTGAATGCACAATTTGCTCTCAGTCACTATTTGAATTATGAGCATAAGCACACACTTGCTCTCAGATAAACAAAAATGAGTTTCAGTGTTTTCAGGTAGCAGGCAAAAAGCTACACAACTGTATCAGATATAGTAGTAAAAGAATAAGTTGCCTCTGACAAGAGGCAGAGCATATTCCATTAAAAACACCACTTCACCTAGTTGCATCCTAACAAAAAATAAATAATTAATTGTCCTTTATGTAGTCTGATGCATGGGGGAGATGTGGGGAAATGGCATATTCTTCATTGCTCACATTGGACCAAAGTTACCTTTGAGAAACCTATAATAGTTTTTTAGGATAGAAACAATAAGCATGAGTTACTAAATGATTAGTGAGCTTACCTGCATGAGGAGAGACTGGTAAGAGAAATTTATGGAACTTTATTACACCTTTAGTGCACTTGAGCTGTCCTAGCCCTGAAGCCTGTGCTGCTCTGTGGCCCCACTCCTCCCTTCCCCATCGCCAGTCTGTGAAAGGCCTCCACCATTGCACACAGGCCTTGCTGGGAGGAGATGTGGCCACCTTGGGGTCACTGGTCCCCCGATATCGCCACAAGGGTGGGTGGTGCCCCACACTGCTGCCCAAGCAGCAGCACCCCTAGGTTGCCCGAATTTCACTCTGTGCCACGCGGTAGCTCAGGCTCAGGTTTTGCCCTTTGGAGTTCTCCGAAAATCATATCAAAGACGAGGCAGTGCCAGGGCGCAGGTGCTGGAAGACGCCGTGGGTGTTACTGAATTGACAGCAGCTCGCTCGTGGGCTACCGGTCTGTGCCCACTGCTCTCGCCCAGATGGCTCCCAGCCACAGTCAGTCCATGCCAGGGCCCTGCTCCACCAGGTCCTTGGGATGTGTTTACACAGCTTTGGGTAATAAAATAGTTTAATGGTGTGTATGTGGCCTCAAAACCAGGAAATGGAGCTTGGTGCTTCTTGCTTTGCTAGGACAAAGATGCATCTGGCTGTTGGTGTCCGGAACTGGGGTTAAGGAAGCAGCTGAGAGCCTCCCAAAACGGCAGACGAATGCACAGAAAGAAGCATGAGCAAATATTGAGCCCGAGTGATCATTTTGTTCGAGGATTTGGCTCTTCCCTCCCCATCCTTTGAAGAGGTTCATCACATGAAGAGGTGCACAGACTCCAATGCATTTGGAACAATGAACTAAGGTGCCTGGAAGAATCATGTTAAAGAGGTAGAGGAAGAAAAAAATGGAACATCATAAGAGCTGGTTCCTAGGCAAGACCTGGGAAGTGTGAGAAACCAAAGAGATTTGGCTTTGGTAACAGATGAAACTAAAACTAAATCAGAAGTTTCACTCACACAATGCCGTAAAACTAATGCAACATAAGTACTTACTCACCAAAACTGCTCTTGAACCAAGTCTACTTCTTTAAAAGATAAGTGATTGAGTGAGTCTTCTTCTCTTCCATAGCTCTTATTCTGAAGCCTATTTTCATCCAGAAACTTTCTTCAACAAGTTACATTCTGATAAAACTAACACTGCATCGGTCTTTTTCCAGATTAATAAATTCCCTACCCCACAAATAGTTCTTTGCTTCCATACTCCTTTGTTTTCATGTTTTGCCAAGCAAAATATCAATAAAGACAAATCTGCTGCCACATTACCAGGGTAATCAGAATGCTTTATTTCAGTTTTGGCATGTTTTTTACCGTTGGTTTTAACTACAACAATACTAATTTACTTCCTTTGGTTTGGGGTTTGTTTTGGTTTGTTTTCTTCCCCAATATTTTGGGTCTCACTGAATGTAGCAAGACATTTATTTCTTAAAAATCTTCAACACGGTTTCTACATAACATTCATCTGGTGGGGGTTTCCTTGGGCTGCCAGGCTGCAGGAACTTCTTAATTGTAGGCATATTGCTCATTCTTATTTTAAAAGCCTAAAAAATAAAACCAGCAGAGTAAGAGAGAAATTCCAGCTGCTCCAGTAGCAGACAGTGCTCCTTGCACCGAACAACTGCTTCCCCCTGCTGCTATAAGAGATCCTAACGTTCACTCAAATCTCGTGCCACTACTCAGTCTCCTTCTGTCCAAGAGGAGAAGGACCCAGCTGCTGCAAAAAGCCTGTTCTTACCAATAAAGGCAGTACTGGAGCAGACAATATCTAAACCTTTGCTGCCTGAAAGAAACTGAAGGTAAGAATTCAATATCTGGGAGCGACAGGGGATAGTTTTGAAGGCACAAATACAAATCCAGCTCATGACCTTTTTCTTTTCATTGATGGTTCTGATGGTGCAAACTACCGTGTGGGCAAACCACAATATATGTTAACATGACTTACATTTTTATTACATGATGTAAGTATATGAGCTCTGTTTACATCTAGCATGGCCACTCTTGTCCCACTGTCCCAGCTTTTCTAGGATTGCATGGATGAATGTGAAATGGCTGGAATTATCCTTGGCTCAACTAATTTGTCCAGTAGAAGCTTCTCATACTGTGTTGTAGCCTAGGATAGCCAAAATATTGACGTAGGGCTGGCAGGTATAACACAGCCCCTCAGGGAGACCTGTTCCCTTCTGGAGCAGTGGCTGGAAGCCAGGACTAGGATTAGGGAAGAGTTGGTCATCTCAGGTGGCAAGAGATGCCTGTGTTAAGGCAAATGAGTCAAGGATCCTGAGACATCTCACTGTACAGTCAGAGAGGACTCACTGATGCAGATTGAAAGCAGCTGGAGACCCTGCGGTTAGCTGAGAAATCTTAGATACACAAGAACCTCTTCTAACATCAGGGCTAAGGGAGAGGAGCTTCACAGAGTGACTGTCAGCTCTTGCTGGCAGATATTTGAGCATAATTTCCTCTTTCTTACAGGCACTGTAAGGATAAGAGGGAAATACAAGAAGGAGCAAGAAAAGTAAAAATTGTGAAATAAGTCACCACCAATTTTAGAAATGTTTCCCCACTGGCTGTGAAGGAATCCCTCCATAATTCAAGTCATGGCTTCAGCAGAACTGTGCCAATGCCTGGTGGCTAAGATACCTTGCTAGAAGATGGGAGCTAGAGGCAAGAATTACCTGAGGCTGCAAAACTGCATATGGGATAAAATCTGACACGTTATTGCCCACTTTGTGGCTGAAGTGCCTCATCCTGTCACACTAAATTCAGGCTTAAACTGTTGGGGTTGAGATTTAGAAATTAAAAATAGTTACTAAAAAAAAAAAAAACAAACAAACAAACAAACAAAAAAATCCCTTTTCCTTATCAGTTCCAGATAGAAACCTAACTGTGATAGTCTAATGCTGAACTGTTTCTTTTGTTAATGGGAATAAAGCCAAAGTCTTTGAGTGTACCCCTCAACAGTTTGTAAGCACAAAGAAGCATGACCTCAAGCCTTGCATCCTCAACCCAAATTTTCACTGCCTACACTGCCCTATTACCATGGTTACAGGCACATGGGAGAACTACTGAACACTATCTGCTTTTTTCAAGACACAGACTACTTGGATCCACTGTATCTCAACTCTTAATGACTCCTGCAGGTCCTGCCCCAGGCCTGCCCCACGAACTGTTCTCTGTAGCATGTTGCATGCCTGGAAGCTTCTGATTTCTGGTCAAGTGCCTCACTTCTGCTTGATTTCAGCCTTTGTACTTGGCACAAAGGCAGAGAATTCATCCTCGATTGTATCAAGTTGATTATTGAAAGAAACCTGTGGCTTAATGCTGAGGCTTGAGTTTCTAGTCATACTGTAGAAGGCAGAAGTGAAGTGAGGTTACTGGGAACCCAAAACTGTAATACCAGCCAGTACAGAAAATGGCATACTGTACCTTATTCTACCATGTCAACCTGTATCTCAGACTTAATTTTTTAACTGGTATTAGATAGTATCTACTGACAGGAAGCGGGGAAAATGAAAACAGGACATCTCAGATCAGTGATTTCCCTGGGATGACATGAAATTATTTCCATTGAGGAGGCATATACTATTGAAAGAAGGATAGGCATACCTGAACAGGGTTAATCAGGAGCAGTGTCTTACAACAAACCAACTAAATCAATTCCCTCTTGTGCTTGATGTTAAGCAAACATACAATAGCAACAGTTCCTCAAAGAACCGACACTCCTGACTTACATAGCATGGAGAGATGATGACCTCGAGATTACCCCCTAGTTCCTGAATACAGACATACTCAGTAACAAAATTACCTGCAACTGAGGAAACCCCGACAGCACATCAGGGATTTTCTCCTCCACTGCTAAAATGGCTTCAATTAGCTGAATATCTGCCCAGCTGAACCTGTTGCCCACAAGAAAGTCTTGACCATGTTGTTTCAAAACCTGTAGAACACAAGAGAATGTGGGCTGCGGATTAGAATGGGACATATGATGCCTGGCAGCTAAACTTCACAGCACAGCTGTAGAGCTGAACAGTGATTATATCTGAAATTTCAGAGTGGAATTTCAGCTGGAAGCTGTGAACCTAAATCACTTCATCATTGTTGGGAAAAAAATCTGAACTCTTGTAGTACAGAGACTATAAACTTTTGTCACTCAGTAATGATGAATGATGATAGGCACTGGGAACAGGGACAAAACCACACGCTTAATTAGACTAGTAACAGTCATAGAAATAGGGATAATGGAGGAACTAAAGAGTAACTTGAAGAATTTATAAAATTGCCATTTAGATATTTCATTTAAAGTTACATCCAATGTTGATACCAGGAAGCAAACTTAGAAATGCAAAATTACAACCGCTAACCAAAGAAAATTCATGCCTTTGAGAATAAGCTATTACAGTTATAAGAACTACTAGGATGTTCAGCCTTTATTACTGTTTCCCATCAAAACTAGATGAATGTTTCAAAAGTGAGAAATGTTGCCAGATGCCTGAGTCATATGGGTTTGGTTTGCTGTTTTTGAAAGTGGGATGTGCAGAAATCTATGGCTGTTGTTTTACTAAAGTACTCCCAATCCCTCTACCTGATTTATTGACAAGGGATTTTTGCATTCTTCTAATGAAAATGTTCCAACTGAAATTAAGTATAGCAGAGAGATATGCTATAAACAAATATAAGTGTGGAACTATGCCCTCAAGGAAAAAATCATATGTGCTTGCTTTTACTTCAGTGAAAAGTTCTGCTGTATAGCTGAGAATATATTGCTTTGTTTGCTTTGTAGATGTTCAGATACCAAAGCCCTGACAACACAAGCCAACAAATAGAGAAAACATGCTGCTGTATTTCCCCTTCTCTGAGATAGCCAGGAAAACTGTGGGTTTGGAAGTGATCTGCACTACAAACATGTTCTTACTTTGGGGAAACGTTTTGATAATTGTAAATACAAGTTTTATAGACACATCCTCAATGTCACTGACCTTTTCAAAGACTGGGAAGTACCTGTTAGTTGCCCTCTCCTTAACTGAGTCAAGATTTTTCTCCTTTGCCTCAGGTGGAGAGAAAGGAAACATCAAAATAGTTTCCATCAGATCTGTTATTCCTTCCACATACATGTCAATCCTATTGTTGGGGAGAAGACAGTAGAAAAGAGCACAGAAGTTATTTCATCTGTTTTCCAATTAACTAAGGTAACATATAAGAATTAAATATCATCACCATTGTGCCAAAATTAATATAAACTAAAGATAAATATTTTAAAAAAGGATTGAAGCCTGTTTCTGTTCAGCAACATTTCAGAAGCAGTGGTTAAAACTTAAGCAAAGTCTAGAGTCCTTGCTTTTTATTGTGTTAGCATGTCTACTGGATTTACAGGATTGAATTTGTTATATATAATGAAGCTATCACATAACAGATTGCTCATTAAGTGAAGGGAGGTATTACAGTACAGGGCTCTCTCCTTCAAGTCTTTCCCATAGAGATTGTATTTCTCTGCTATGTAGCTGAGGATGGCTCTGGTCTGCACCATCTTCATCCCATCGATCTCAACCAGGGGCACTTGCTGGAACATCAGGGATCCATCTAGGGTGGAAAGTTGAGGGACAGCTTGTTAGTTCCTCTTAGGCTGCTAGCTTTACAGGAGACCAAGAGACTGAACACATTTCTTTTGCAGTGTAGAAGTTCATTGATGTCTTGCCCTAACTGTAAACTTCCATGCAGTAAATTAACATTGTGGGAAAGATCAAATATTGACCAGCCTGCATCACACTTTCGTAGCAAGGTCATCACAGTGCAGCTGGGTCCTTGTTTTACAGCATTGCCAAATCTTCACTGGCTGATGGGAGCTGGCACCACCTGCTCCTTTGCACTTCTGGACCCTGCCTCATGCTGGCAGAAAAAGCCTGAACCAGCACTTTCAACCCAAGGGATCAGAGAAGAATAAAGATCTGTGTTAAACCTGAACTTTAAAAAAAAAAAAAAAAAATCAAATTATTTTGAATGCAGATCAGTTCCCTGCCAGAGACATACACACATGAGTAGAAAAAAGGAGAAGGATAGTACTGCAGCAAGACTGAGCTACTGATAAAGGAAAGAGGTCAGGCCACTTTAAACATTGTGAAGCTACATAGTTAGAGGCAGGGACTGTGACAGGAGTTGCTGTTCAAGTAAATTTTACACAGTCACTCCAGCGGCAAGAGTTTGAGAATCCCCATAGATTTTCATTACAGGCCTATACTCACTGTCATTTCACAACAGTTTAAGCCTATTTAGATACATCTTTGTAGTCCCATTTTCTCTGGGTGCTGGTAGGAGTATTTTGCTGAGCCTTCAGTGAGGCAGCTCTGAGAGCTAAACTGACAGATTCAGCAGAGCAAAGTTGGTCTCTTCTAAACCAGTTTTCTGCTGGAGTAATTTACTGCCTTTGGAGATACTCCCTCCTCCAATTACGCAACATTAAGGGCATCCAGAGAACAATCCCTCCCTATTAAAATCACAGCAAAATTCCAAAATCCAACTAGGCGGCTGCCACTTTGCATTGTTCAACGTTAATAATTTATTTTAATTGCTCAATTTTAATCTGTTCAGTGCATCCTTCTTTCACGTATAAGGGTTCATTTGAACAGGCACATCTGTTTGCTTTTTTTCTCCATGGAGCTATTAAAATACTTTGTTAGTCTAGAATTAATAAAAACATTCTTCACTCATTATTAATTTTGAGTTTAAATTCAAAGAGTAGTTCTCTCTGCAGCAACAAATAGCCTGTATTTGTTTCTTGTAAACAGAAAGATAACATGTCTTCATGTCTTTCCAGAACATACCTCTGCAGCTTAAGGAAGAAATATTATTTGGTATCTCTCCAACAGAAACACAGTGGAATGGGAAAACTAACAGCTCTGAAAGGGTGTTTTTCAGCAGAAATATGCGAAGTGAAAAATAAAATCTGACTTTCTGGCCCTTGACAAAAAGTGATGCAGCAAGTGTGAGTGAACTGAATGCACGGTTTGTTTCTTATCTACAGAAAAGAAGGATTTCTCTCTTATGGTCAGTAGTGGACTGCTTCTCCTCGCTTTCAGTGAGAGTCACTTCATATAACTACTGCACAGAATATATATGCAGGATTAAAAGCAGTTTTCCAGTTGTTTTGCTGATTGGATTGTGATGTTAGAAGGTGGTCTGTGGAGCATGCCTAAAAACCCAATCATCTAGGCTTACCACTTGTCACCAACCAGCAGAGCTTGTAAGTTGCTAGCCAAGTAGTAACTTGGGCAACGTGGCTGCACGGACTGACCCGAGCTAGTAATCTCTCAGGCCAAGGGGTACAGCCCTGGCCCAGCCAGTGCTGTTTGACTCTCTCGGCTTCCAAAACAGCTGTCTGTCTGCAAGCTGCCTGTTGGGAACAGCCCCAGGCCCAGTCTTCGTCCTGGATACTGCTGGGGCATTGCTTAGAAGCTCATCAGCTGGCATGGGCCAAAGTCACACCTTGACCATTCTAGAAATGTGGTAGAGTCTAAATGCGGGATACCCTGGCAAAAAACATGTCCGTAGGGAGAGAAAAAAAAAAAGTTAGAGGGATAGGTAATGTGGGGTTATTCGTGTTCAGTCCTGCCTGCATGACTATCAGCATTCCAGAGGTCCCTTTATCAGGATGGCTAACTGATTGGTCTTTCTCCAACCCATCCTATTAAATCTCACTTTTTTCTTTGTGTTCTCACCCTCTTCAGCTCAATATATACACATAAAAGCCCTTGACCTTCTTTATAAAACTTCCCTACCCTTTTATCACCATTTAATTATTTTCTCTGGATGTGGATAAGTTTGGACACTGTGTCCAGGATTGTACCACTCTGTCTGGATTAATTAGTCCTGTGAAAAAAATTCAGATTTGGGCTTTCAGTACCTGAGCTATCATGTTTAGAGCTATAACTGGTGTCTTTACACTGCACTACTCTCCCATGTTGTCAGGTTCCCAGCTGTCTGGACCTGAAAACTTAATTCTAATTTTCTTGCTACCATTTTTTTTTTTTTTTTTTTTCATTTTAGTTCTCCTGTCAGAATTTCTTTAAAGACAGCTTTTCCTTTCTGAGCAAGCAGCCAGAATCAGCCGAGTCCTCTTCCAAGTCTCCTAGCATGTCTTGGCAAGTTCAGCCTGCTGTGAGGTTTCTCTCATATGTCTTGCACAGCAGGTAAACTGCAGGGCAGGTGCACACTGTAGTGCTCCTCACAGTCCCAGCTCTTTCCCCACTCCGGCAGCAAGGTCTTCTCCTTCCAGAGTGGCTGCAGAGGGGTTCACTGCTGGATTTCATCCGGCCAAATACTAAGGGCAGTGGCTGGGAACTGGTCTCACTCACAAGGTTGACATGAAGCCTTCGTGACCTGCTGCTTTGATCATGCCAGACTTTCCACAGGTCTCCCTACTGGCTCCCTGCTTTTTCACTGGGGGAAGCTTTATGGCTCAGGCTTATCCTGCTTAGGACTGTCACTAGTGTGTTCAGAGCGTAGCATGAAGAAAAACTGGCTTTCCTGGGGATTTTGGTGCCATGTCAGCCTTTCATTTAGAGGTTTATCTCACTGGGGTTCAGAACCAGCATACAGGTACCCCTACACTAGTCAACTCAAGAGTAGTTCAGACCAGCTGGCACAGACAGGCCACATTCACTTTATTCAGCTCCCTCTGCCTATAGAGCATGGGGGTCACATCTAAATGATACGTCAGAAATGACCCTTGGCCTGGGACAACTCCCAAATGATGCCTAGAAATTTATTCGGGGAATGCTTTGTGCCCTGGACCAAAAATGTACCAGGAACCATGCTAACAGTTCAACAGCATATATAATTAAGTTGCATTAAATAGGAATGTTTCCTACCTTTGTTTAATGTACTACAATAAACACAGTCACAGAAGTTATGGCTTTTAGCTTATAGGAGATGTTTGGCACTGGAAAGAACAGGTTACTCAAAATTACTATTTCAGTATTCTAGAAGTTTGCACTGGTTTAAATAAACTAATTTTCAACCATAAACTTAGCTAAATTGGAGCAATTGTTTGAGGGACTAAGCCTCAGGTGTTGGGATTCTTACCTTTTATTAACTTTTCATACTGCTCTTTTGTTTCCAAAAAACTTTCTTCAAACTGGAAAAAGGGCAGAGAATAGTGTTACATTGCTGTATTCGAACATTATTCTGTAAGTGACTGCACATAACCACATGCAGAATGGCCAAACCAAGCAAAAGATAATGGGCCGGATCTTCAACTGCACTGTGTGACTGCAGATATCCTGAGGATTCCCCACCATCCTCACAGCTGGGGAGGAGCAGGAGGGCCTGGCCACCTCAAGGCACTGATTCAGAAATAACCTAAGTGTGGGTGGAAACAGTACAGACATTTACAGCAGAAAGACAGGTTGCAGCTAGTGCCAAGTGAAGTGCAAGTTAAATCAACTATTTCTAACTTCACCCCAGGGCATGTAAGTCAGAAACACTTGTTTATACATGTTGTAACTGCAAATTAAATAAGACTGAGTTAAGGTGCTTTTGCACAGATGGAAAACTCAGGTTAATTAGGGGCCTTTAAATAAATCCCCATTTTCACCTATTATGATTAATTACTTCAGGGAACTCATACTAACTCTAAAAAATTCCAAGCTCCACTGAGTTTGCATCCCAAATATTAACCACTGAACAAGGTAGTTACAATCATGCAGTGCCAGTGGCCAAATTCATTTAGCCACCCTCCTCCAAAGCGTTTATCCTCCACACACATGTTAAACTGTTCCTTACTGAGGCCAGCTGAAAACACCAGTCTGGAACACTGTACCAAGTGTCAACTGACCTCCACACCAGCTGCTGCCAACAACCACCGTATGGGCTCCATTCGCCCCCTTCCATTACAGTAGGTAAGCCTGGGCTTCCCTGACATGCTTCTGAGCTCCTGGTTCCCTGAAAAATATTAAGCAGAAAACAGCGTCTCATAAAACTGGTGTAAGTACCATTAATTTGAGGGGCGAGAGTGCCTTTTAGTCTCACTATGCCTGTTGAAGTTTAAACATCATCTGGTTTTAAAACATAAAATGAGTGACGGAGAAGTGATACCACACAGACTGTGCTAGGAAAAATGTGCAGATCTGTTAAGCCTTCCCCAGTGCTACTAGAGACGTTTGTTATGATTATAAGCAAACACAGACATGTTTAAACAAGTAGTATGAGTCCCAGGCTACAGGAGGAATCTTACTGCATTTTAAGACAATCATACAAAGCCACTGAAAATCCTACTACATCCTCAGGGAAGTTACTCACTTAACCTTGTTGCCATAATCCTCACTGAGAAGATGAAATTTAGAAAAGGGAAATGTATTTTACTGGTAGGCTGAAATTTCTGTAGATGTTGGAGCACATTTTGCAGCTTCACCTGCCATCCAATTCCTTCCTCGGGTAGGGGCAAATTAATTGTTAATTTTCCATTTATTCCATGAAACAGGCTGAGCTTCCTTGGCGGTCCTATTGAATGGCTACTGACTGTTTCCTTGCTGCTTTACAGCATGCTTGAGGTGTCCCTCAAAGCCAGATCTGGAACCTGGCTTCATTGGTTTCAAGTGGCCCCCAAAGCATCCCCCAGAGCGCCAGGGACCTTTTTGCCCAGGGGACCGGCACCTCGGATGCTGCAGCATCTTGCTGTAACAGCACCTCTCCCTGCACCATGAGCAATAGCGTGTGGCAGAGACTGCACGTCTGTATTGAGCTGTTTCATAGGTAGGGACAACCACCTGAACTATTTGTGCTGGCACTTGGGTATAAGTGTTTCAAATCCAGGCCTTAATTTCTTTGTGCTTTGTTGCTCTAATTACTAAAATAAATGGGACTAGCATTCCCCCTTCACAAATATGTTAGTATCACACGCTACAGATTGGAAGAATAAAAGCTTAAAAATATGTATCCTAATTATGTCTTAATGACTCAGAAACTAGAGTGCTCAATTTAAAAAATAATTTTACAGACAACCCCAGTTTTGTCAGAGATAAAAGCCAAAGCTTCAACATCACATCTGTCACACTTTGCAGCCACATGACATTTCCTATTCAAATCAGCTTCAGTACACTCTAGTGATGTGTTTTCTTCAAGTCACAGCTATTTGTAAGTGTACTTAAAGTATGTTTGGAACATATTTTGCCAAAACTTGATTTTAAAGCGCAATCAGATTGAGAGTTCTCCCTTGAGAAATTCTGGTAAGAACTAAGTCATGTTACTACAATAAATAGGGATATTTGGCATAATTTAGACAATATAATCCAAATACACATGAAGGAAAAGTTTATCACCTCCAGGCTTAAAGTGTAAATAGATCTTGCTAACTACACTTGTCTCTAAGACAGTGGTTTTATTAGTTTCTGCAGGTTGTGTGACTAGATTTCACTGTATGGCAGTGCAGCTTATCTGTGTAGTTTATAACAGCTAATTAGTGCCTCTTTCATTATCATGCTTCTCAGATACATTGCATCTGTATCATTTCAACACACATGAATCCGATTTGTACTGTGCAGAAATTTACAGTAAATAGGAATTTTCCTTTAACTGAAAAAGCCAAAGACCACAATACCAAGAATATGAAACTTAATCCTCTTGGAAAATTTATCTATTGTTTGCAGAACAAAAGCAGAGGGAGTAAAAATCCCTAGATATCATTTTACATGAACAAGAAATTCTATATGCATTAAATTATGTGGGACAAACAATGACAAATGGAGAATAAAAACCTGTCTTCAGCTTCATTTTTTTTTTGATTAAGAACTACTCCATCAGCTGTAAGTGGATTTTAATTGTCTTAATCTTCTGACACAGAAAAAACCTCTTGGTTTTTGGTAAAGTCTCCTCAATCTTTAGATCCCCTGAATGTATCTCCACTGACTATACAGGGACCCGACACATGTAGCTCACACACATGCCTGGATCTGGACCCAAGTCTTGCCCTGAGGGCTCAGTTTAGTTGCCCATTCCAATGTGTCTATTGACACTTGAGATTCCCTAAACTTGGGCAGATATAACCCTCAATTTACTGGAGACAGAACAACTTTTTCTACCTTAAATCAGTATACCTATTCAATGTCTTTTTGAATTTATTTGGGGAAAGGTACAACTAACATAGGCAAGGCTCCCTCAGGACTTCGCTCAGTCCACCATTATTTTTCTAAAATTTTTGTAAAAGATTTGCAGGGTCCTGTGTTTAAAAAAAAAAAAAAAAAAAAAATCCAATTTTGATACAATAGGTTGATGATTTATTAGTAGCCAAAGAATCTTGTATAGCTGACACCCATTCCTTACTGTTTGCTGTAGCTGAAAAGGGCCACTGGGTGTCTCCACATAAATTACAATTTTTGTAAGAGAGATGTAGAATATCTGGGTTACATTCTCCAACAAGAGAAGCAGTGTTTATTTAAAAACCATATTAAACCATTCAAAAAATCTTCCCTGACCAGTTACTGAAAACAAATGCAGGACTTTTTAGGAGCTGTAGGATTCTGCCACCCCTGGATAGCTGCTTTTGAGGAAATGGCAAACCCCCTGATCCTGACTATTGCTCAAGATGCTGGAGAACCCATTCACTGGAAAACAAACAAGGTAAAGACATTCAAACTTCTGAAACAAGCTGCACCTGCCCTGGAACTGCCAGACTATGGTAAACCATTTACCTTGTCTGTACAAGAAGAGCAAGGAATAGCCTCTGGGATGGTAACTAACACACTGAACTCTGCTACTCTACTCCCTTCATCTGGGGAAGGAGCTCCACATCATGACTGTGTAGTAACCACCCATGAAGGTGAAAAGACTCAAGACTGTTTAACAGATGTGCCATTTCTAAATCCTAATCTGGAACTATTTGTTGGCAGGTCCTCGTATTGTCTGAGTAGCAGCCAGGTTAATGGGGTATTGAACAACTACTATGAATGGAGTAGTGAAGGCTTCACCACTCAGTCTGCAGCTGAATGCACAAGCAGCTGAATTAATTCCATTAACAAAGGTCTATCAGCTGGCCAAAGAAAAGACTGTAAATATTTATGCTGATTCTCAAAATGCATTTGGAGTATGTCATGCTACTGGGCAGTTATGGAAGCTATATGGGTTTATAAATTCTTGTGGAAGTAAAACATCAAATGCTCCACAAATTACTGACCTGTTAAAAGCTGTACAATTGCCAGAGAAACTTGCTATCATGCCTCAGCCAGCCCATACCAGTGGAAGGGCAAAAAATAATCTTAACAGATATTGCTGCTAAAGACACAGCATGATAGTCATATGAACCACTCGGCTTGCAAGCAGTCTCATAGTCTGACTTGTTATTGCTTGCTTCTAAAAGGATATGTTTGACTGCTCCTGCTGAAGAAATTGATTCTTGCAAAAGGTACAAGTGACCAAAGACTCCTATGGCCTAGGGAGAGCAGATATGGAAAACCTTTATTATTTATTATATCTATATTATATATATGGAAAACATTAATTTTACCTAAGCAATTCCTGATTCCCATAGCAAAAATGCATCACCAAATGCTACACTAGCCCAGACACTGCTGAAGAATTGGTTCATGACAAGAATTTATGCTGCAGCCAAATAAGTAACCACATCTTGCACGTACTACCTTTAGCCTCTATTAACATTTAGCAAAAACCTCAACACAAAATTTGTCTATGTACAAATGTTTTTACTGCTTTTGTCTGAACTCCATTATTTCCATTCTATTTCCTAGTGAAGCCTTAATGGCACACCTGTCCTGAATTTCTCCGAGGATGCTTCTCAACAATGCAAGAACCTTTTAAGATGGGATGGCCTCTCAGAAACAGCATTATCTGCATTTACTGTGAAGCACCCTTTAGCTCTACCGCTGGGAGCAAAGTCCAGCATACCAAATGGGCCAACTTTTCTGCTCAAACCCAGCAGAAACCTCCACAGTGCTAGAGGCTTGCACTTTGTTCTCCCACTCACCTTTGCCTTCCCACACTTTGTCCCCTCAGCAGCTTAATGGCTGCCTTGCTCAGCTCTGAACTGCACTGCAGGATTCATTTACTGGTTAAAAAACATCTTTCTCTTGCTTTCTCTGTCCTGCAGCTTCCAGCTGGTGAGTAACTTTTGAATCATGCTTAGTCTACCTAGCACACTAACTAAAGATAGCAGAGAATTTACATTACCCCAACAAGTACCCTAATAAATTTCAAAGTAGCTCAAACACTTTAAGAAAAAAATGTGTAAGTTAGTCCTTACCTTCAGACTTTAACTCAGCCTCCTCTCCCAGCACAAGCACTTCCCAGAGGTGTTTAAACTTCAGAGCTGGGGGAGTTTCCAGCCGTACCCAATTAGAGGTAAAACCTCCCATTGCTATTAAGCTGGCACTACCTAGTTTAAAGACATATGTCTCTGAAAATTGCTATCCAAATCATTTGAGGTGAAAATGCTAAAACTTAAAGTGGATGTGAACAGACACAAGGATGGCATAGCAGATGGGAAATAGAATTTGGATGCCAAAGATCAGGTTCTCACCTCTAGCGTAGACCCATGTGTGATACTGGTCATCACTTTACACCCCTGTAGCAGATGTCAGTACAGCTAATCTGAAGATCTGTTCGCAGAACCCACACTGTTATCAAAAGATGGAGAATCTCAGGATAAAAATCTCTAGGTAACTATATTGGGGAAATCATCCCCAAACTGCTACCTTAGATTTTCCTCACAGTTGAGGTTTTGTTATAGTTTCTCTGCCTGGAAATCACTGGCAGTCTCTCCTGGAGGACACACTTCCACTAGAGGCTTCTTGTAAATTTGTAATTTATGTGTTTTAAACGTTAGTGGTATCAGCAAAAAACAACTGTATGATGCTTCTTTACACTTTGCCTAATTATAACTCTCAGGTTCATTTAGTGAATAAAGCCCAGCATTAAATATATGCTTTTATAGTGTTTCTATGTCAAACCCAGTTACCACCCCCCCCCCCCGAAAATTCCCAAGTATGGGTTACAAGTCCAGCACAGGCCCAGAACTGTTCCCAGCAGGCAGCATGGGTATGGCACCCTATTTTGGAAGTTAGGAGCATGGTGTAAATACATGCTGTACCACGCTAGCTGGCAGAAGTGCCAGCCAATGGTCCCTGTATGCCTGCATCACTAATGTAGACGTGGCCACAGTAGAATTGTGGCACATGCAGGAAGGGATAGTTGAGTAAGAAAGGAACATTGTTTCATACCTTTTTTTGATGGTGGCACTGAGTCAAAATCAATCTATTCCTGCTTTTGAGGTCTTTGATATCAGCAGGTACCTGAGTGCAAGTCAGTTCAGGAACAGTGATGACAGAAGAACACACAAGTAACTATTATCTCTGTGTCCTTTCTGTAGTCTCAAATTTCCAATGGCAGCAATAGGCTTGATGGCAAAGAAGAAGGGGAGGAAGAGGTCTCTGTTATGAGGCTCAGGGATGAGTGGTCAAGCAAAGTGTTCTGATGCTTTTTGGATTTGCTGAACATGGCCGCATCCAACTTTGACTGTTTTTCCCCTTCCACACATTCCTGTTTGCCAGAAGGACTTTCCCTCTTGTTCTTTTTTCATTTTACTTCCAGCACAGCCTGTCATAATGTAATTATAAAGCTCCTTTGACATCTAAAGATATTGTATCAATAAGGTTACTGTTATCTATAACTTGGATAAAAGTTCTGTAAAGCTTTAGAGTAGAAAAGCAAATAAGTTGCTCTTACAAATAATTTGTTAAGCCACGTACATGAGTATTTAGGCAGCTGTCATGGAGCCCAGATACCAATTAAGTGATCTTGTGTTGCGCATAGGCAAATTTTAAATAGTGCATATACCATACCCTGGTATGTCAAGTTCCCACTGTGTTCTGTGGACACACTTCATTGTGCTGTATGTTAGACAAGACCAAAGGCTTCTCGAAACGTACCTGCCTGAAATCCTCACAATCCAGTAAGCATCTGGCTTGAGGGACCATGCCTGATTCCAGCTTCCATCAGTGTCCTCTCGGAGGTGGGGACAGGGTATATAGCTACCTGGCACTAGGCACAAGAGGGGGTTGGGAGGATTCTCCCTGTGCTGCTTACTGAGCTCCTAAACTGAAGCACACCATCACTGTGATAAAAAATTAGAGTCCACATGAATAGTTAGAACAAGTCGTGTCACTCAAGGCTAGACTTGCTGCAAACCTTCAGCAACTGCTCTGGTTCTGTCCCAGAAGCTTTACTAACTGCCCGAGGACAAGGTTAACCAACCCTGTATTCACCCTCACACACATTTTTATAAGCTGTTTGGCATTTACCTGGACCACTGGCATAGAAGAGTCTGAAAACAGTAATCCTAACTTTGATTTACACCCATTGTGCTGCTGGCAAGGAGATCTTAAATGGGGAACCCGTTTACAGAAAGTTATTATTTGGATCGTTTAGTCTTCATTGATTTACGTGTCTCAGGATGGTCAAATGGCTGATTTATATAGCCACAAGATAGGCAAGATCAAGGCTTCAACCACCACTAGAAAATAACCTTAGTAGTACATGTTTAATTGTGAAATATTTATCTTAAATAATTCATATACTATAATGACGTCACATTTTGATAGAAACTTGCGTAAGTCTATGTTTCCTCTATTCAGTTTCTGATGTGTGCTGTGAAACTTTCTAGGACTCAGTTTACGTGCATTATTACAACTAAAAGTAATAATAATCTAAGCATAGGTTTAAAGACTCTTTTTATTTTCAAAGGAGGTTGAAAAGAAGCAGAAATTTCAATCCTATTTTTGTCTGATGTTAACTAATTATAAAGCTGGACAACAATTTGGGTTTTTCTTTACCAATAAAAAAGGTTTTTTTTGCAGTAAAAGAAAGATAAAAAGTGATCACTTGAAAAAAAATAAAATCATCTCTCATCCTGTAAAACGTTTTTCATTTGTTTTGGTCCTTTTTTAAATAAAACCAGATTTATTTATATATCTCAGACAAGGAGAAATAGGTTTTATTGACCACAAGTACATTTCTTCCCTTAGAAAACACTTGTTTTCACTGAATTTCATGTTTCCCTGTAGTTCATCAGAATTTTCATAAGACCCTGTAACCCTAATATGGATTTCAGGATCAATTTATCTTCAAAGGCAAATATTCTCTCTTTCTCTTAAACCTTCTAACACAGATCTGTCAGCATAAAAAGATTAAATGAAACAAGAATAGTGACACATTATTTATACAATCTAGAGCTATTCCACTTTTAAGATACTCTTTATTCACTGTTTGGTAGCATTTTCAAAATTACAAAACGTGTGAAGTTTAGTGACATTTATGACTAACATTCTAACTCTACATTTACCTTTCTTGCAGATAACATATAACAGTTTGTGAAATGTAACTTGGATTGCTCTCCAATTATGTTTTCAGCATGAGATTCATTTGTTCATGTTGCATGTATAAGATTGTACAAATCTAGAAGAACAAAATGGAGGTTTAAGTAGGAGAAGGGGTTGAAAAATGACAGCAGATAGAGACTGGCTTCATTTCCTGGTAAAAAAATCTGTTTTTTAATGCTACAGCTTCTTCATCTGGTGACGGCTTTCATTGCCTGCCAGTCTGGAGGAACTTCTTATTTATGGCCAGGTTGCTTACTCTTGCTTTAAAAGTCTAAAATTGAAAACAACACAACTTCTAAGAATAGGGGTGGGAAAAGATCTAATGACAAGCCAACACAAACCTGTGAAATCACCTTCATTAGTTGGTGGCTCAGGGCTGATAATGAGGGAGGAGGAAGTTTCCTAGGAGTAGATAGTACAACCTCAGAGAAAAGTAGGTGCAAGCCAGGTGGTACAAGTCTACAAGGCAAGGTATAAAACTAGGCAATGATCATTAGTGGGATAATCTGCCTTTCACAAGTTAATCTTTCAGCACTAGGGAGCTGCTTGACCCCTGAATGTTCTGTATCTTTAAAGATTTCACAGCGTTTGCTATTATATCCTTGATATCACTTTCATCCTTTTAAATTCCTGGCCTCAATGACATCCTCTAACAATAGTTTCCACCATCTTAGTGTGAAAATGTTGCCTTTCATTGCCTGTATTTTGATGCTTTTAATTTAATTGAGTGTCTTATTTCCCATCTATTATAAGACAGGGGAAGTGAAAGTCCTTCTCTGTCTTTCTTACTGGGACCACATGCATAAAAAGTAATTTATCTAATATTTTTTTTAGATAAATCTGACTGCACTTCACTTCTCACATGCATTTCTCAGCTCTGCTTTTTCATTTTCTATTATTTGTATTTCACTTTTGTTGGCTGTATTTCCTCATCCTCACTTGATTACTTCTGCATTCTGCAAGAGTGCAAAAAACTGCCAAGCATTTTAACTTGTCTTCCTCAAAACTTTGAACGAATACAGGAGTATCACTATTTGATTTAGTTACCTGCAGAAAGGGAAACTTGGAGAGAAAGGAGGGCACTTCCTCTTCTACCACTGATAACCTCAGTCATTTATATTGATATTTTTATTTTCATTGATAGCACAGAAGTGCCAGAAACTGACAAACCTGCCTGGGAATATCCACAGAAGTTTGACAGACACGAAAGGTTTACAGGAGTTAAAAAACTAATGACTTTTCTCAGTTTTGCTCCAGTACAGAGTTGATGGAGATATGCATGACCTAAACCTACATTTCAGGTTTCTTTCTGCATCCAGGGACCATTTTATAAATTGCACATGTACAACAGTGGCTACATTTCCATAAAAACTACAAATAAAAAATGTTAGGAAAGTATTAATGGGGCTATGTTTCTCTCCTGAATGAGGAGATACCTAATATTCTACATAGGAATGAGCTGAAAAGACAGATCAGTCTTTGGGGCCCAAACCTGTACACTTGTCTTCAGTATTCTGACTTAAAGAGGCATCCTTCTTGCTTCAAGGAAAACCAGGACACTATCCAAATACTGAAGTCTTATTCTGTCCCTTTTGTAGGGTAAAAATGATCCCTGGGTCCTGGAGATGTATGTTCTTCAGCCTCAACCCTGCCCTACTTCATATTAGCACCTGTTACTATTAACAAGAAAGTACCATGGCATTAGAAAAATAACTAGTGTGTTTGTTTAATTAGGGTTAAGATACACACACTCCTGTTACACCTTTGTTTTGTTGTGTGGGAACTGGTAGTACTGAAGCTGGAGAGATTGATGAGCTCTCAACTGGGCACCTGATTCATCAAACATCAGATGAGTGTACTCACTGCATTCCAAGGTTAAACAGCATCTTATTTCTCAACCCATAGCTAATGCAGGAATTAAACAATGTCATTAGGGATTGAGCACAAGTCTTTCTTGTAATCTGTATCATTAATATAAAACTGTAAATAACAGATATGAAACCCCAAGATAACATCCTACAGAGCAGCTTTTCAAATAGTAAGTGCCATTTATCAAAGTGATTAAAAACATTTGAAATTCCTTTGTCAAGTCATCTGATGAAATCATAGATTAAAAAAAAAAAAAAAAGATAGAGGAAAAGAAATAACACTTTGAGTTTGGCAGGTATTAGACATTAGACAGGAACTACATCAGGTTTGAGGGATGGTTTACTATCTCTGATTCACATTTCCCTTCTCTGGATTATAAATGTAAATTAAATGCCTTTGCATGAGTCATACGGGTTAACAAGGATCCCCCTCATATCAAGTACAAAGAATTTATCCTCCAAGAAAAGTAAAAATGAAGTTTGCAAGCCCCAACTTTCATTCATGACACAACATGACCACATAGAAATAAAAAGTTTATTTGATTAGAACAGATCTTCTAGATACAGCAGTTACACCAAAAATGCGATTTGGCAGTCAAATTGTTTCCTAATTCAGTAATAGAAGTGCAGCTTAGGTATAAGTCACAATGTTGACATTTCAGACAAGTCGCTTATGTCCAATAGAAGTGGCAACAGAAACACCTCCCTCCTACTTTCTTCAAAAAACACGTGTTTCATCTGCCTACAGTGATATTAAAAACAATAAAGGCCTGAATTGGAAGCCATCATCACTCAAAAATCTGATCTGGATCTCAGAAGAAAGTCCTTAGAAGAAGCAGAACATGCTGAAGCTGTCAGTCAGCAACTCACATTTCTTTCTTACAAAAAGTCTCCAGGCAGACAGCATGCTTGCTGCCATTTCACTTGATAAAATTACCAGAAAAATCTCAAGAAGAATGTAGAAAAAAAAAATAGGCTAGTAGTAAAATGTTATAAAAGATACCAGCCTACTGTGTTTTGTATGAGAGAACATGAGATAGTACCCAGTGAAACTCATTTCAAACACCTCTTCACCTTCCCTCTGCAGTATAACTGCACATGTGCAATCTGATACTCTCGCAAACCAAGCACAGCTGTTGTTTTAGCCAGGCACACTAATTTGCTTTTATGTCATAATACATGCAGAGAACTCTCCTCACAGTCTCCACATAGTTATCATCAGGAACAGGTTTTCTCTGGCTTCCCGGTTCTAGAAATTTCTTGATTGTGGGAATACTGCTTACCCTTGCTTTAAATGCCTAAAAGGAAAACAGTAAGCACATGGTATTTAAGGAATGCAAAGTACCACAAGAAGAAACAATTTTACTGATTTGTGTAACATCCTTTAACAAATCATATGTGGAGGCAAGACAGGAAATATAGTTTCAGCCACAGATGAATTTTACTCCCCCTCACTCCAACCTTGTTATTTTAACAGTAATAAAACAGCTTTATGTCTTGTATTGATTTGGGATGAAGTAGAAACAGTTATCTGTGGTTTCAGATACTCAAATCACTTCGTGTGATCCAGAAAATATCTTAGGCTTACAGATATCACAGAACTGGTGAGGGGAGAGGAAAAAAAAGGGATGGTGGATTTCTTCAAATCTGTACAGGGATTACTTCAGAAAATAATAAGATTCCCTAGATGAAACATATTATGAGGTTCTTCCTAAAGCAAGAAGAGCAAGACTACAATGAAAAAGGAGTGACAAATGCTCTTGTTTTGTGACAACAGACTTTGAAATATCATCTCCAGACATATGAGTGTATTGTTAGTGTAAGGTACCTGTAACTGAGGAAAGCCTGAGAGCACGTCTGACTTCTTCTCTTCTACCATTAAAATTGCTTCAAGAAGATGAACATCTGCCCAGCTAAAATTGTTGCCAACAAGAAAATCCTGCCCATGGTCTTTCAAAACCTAGAAGCGTCATAAATGAAAACATTCAGTTGTGGACAGCCAGCTGGGGTTGAAGTTTTCAAAATGCACATGCACCCCTTCTTTGACAATATTTACTGCCTCCTTTTCACCTTTCTCTCCCTTGCAACTAGGGGTACTACAAAGTTGGAGGGATGTGGGCCTTGTGCCTGCAGTCACCGATCATTTTACGGCATATCTATGAGCGGTCCTCACTGCGGCAGTCCAGAATCCCATGGTTTCTCTTAACCATCCTTTCTTCCTATAGCTCTAGGTAACCCCATGTACTGGACTACGGGGCTAGATACCTCCTTGGTATTCACTCCTTTCCAGCCTAATAAATGTTGAATTTTTCTGTATGTAGTTACAGCTTCAATGGGAGAATAAAGAATGTAAGAGAGGTGATCAGCCTGAAGCATTGGGACTAGGATGCAACAAGCAGAATCCAGGGCAGGATCAACCCTGGCAGCCATCTATAGGAAAGCTGGTATTTAAGTGGGAAACTGTCTTCCCTTTAGTCTTTAAAACAGAAGAGCTGCTATTTATTCCAGATCATCTTTTCTGTGTATAAATTTCCATTTTGAACACCTCTTGGGTCCTATCTCTCAAAGGATCAGTTAGAAAAAAAAAATTCCAGCATGGCTTAAGCAGCAGACCACTCAGACCAGAAGACAGCAGTAATAGCTGTGCATTACTGTGATTAAAAAAAAAAACCAACATATAAATGTATTTGAAATGTTAAACAAAGCTGACAATTAGCTATTCTAAAATGGCATTGCCTTTGCAATGCAAGATACTGTGGTGGGTTGACACTGGCTGGACAACTGGTACCCATCAATGTTGCTGTATCATTCCCCTCCTCAGGTGGACAAGGGACAGAAAATATAACAAAAGGCTCGTGGGTGACAACAAGGGCAGGGAGAGACCATTCATCAATTACTGGTCATGAGCAAAACAGACTTAACTTGGGGAAATTAGTTTATTACCAATCAGATCAGAGTAGGATAATGAGAAATAAAAGCTAATTTCTAAAACACATCCCTTCCACCCCCCTCCCTTCTCCCCAGGCTCAACTTCACTACCGATTTTCTCTATCTCCTCCCCCTCAGTGGTGCAGGGGGATGTTATCCTTCTAGAACAATGTTAGGAAATGATCCTCCTACATACCTTTTCATATGCTGGGAAATACCTGCTTGTTGCCTTTTGAACTATAACAGCACGTTGTTTCTCTTTATCCTCAGCTGATAAGAACGGGAACATCAAAATGAAGCCCATGAGGTCATCAGTTCCTCCAACATACATATCAATCCTTAAAACCAAAGCAAAGAAAAACCTTAAATAAGAAGGCACCTTCATAAGCAGAGTTTTCTTAGATTTGTGTTGTGATAGCAAAAGTCGAATTTCCCACTCCCTTTTATGAAAATTATTTTTGCAGTTAAAAAAAAATATGTCACAATGAGTCTCACTCATATTTGTAGTGTTGCTGGCTCTTTCCTTGCTTCATTATGAATGATTAAACAGGGTCGTACAGAGGTTAAAAAAGTTTAGTTTTAGTGTTAGAGATCACTTCAGAATCAGCGAAGAAACGCACAGCACCACAAGAAGTCATCCCCAGCTGTTGTCTGGATGTATCCCCCCTTCAGGGTTTCAGTCAAAGTCCAAGCGGTGCCAAATAGATTAATAATGGGGCTGGAAACTTGAAGTGTACGAGGTTCTGCATCTAGCTAAATTATTAGTACAACAATTCTTCAGATTGTCCCTTTTATCCATTCTTCCAGAGCTCTGACAGCAGGTCTTGTACTGCAGACAAGACTATAATTTAAATTAAGTCCTCATGAATATGAATAAAATATCTAGTGAAATAGTCTAACAAAGTCTTCTAACCATCCCATGTCATAAGAGATTTAAGTTTCTGCTGCGTAATAAGACTAATTGCAGCTTTTGTTGTCACGCAACAGCTTCTCGAAAAAACCTCTGTAAAGATTAGACATGTTATGTGCAATAAAAAACTATCAGATATTTCTGCAAGACTTAAATTCTTCCAACCTCCTGCAGCCAATTCTTCCAACCATTTGCACCATTTAATGGCAGTTTATTGTAAAGTATCTATTAAAGTTAGAATCTTTCTATTTGACCCTTAGTTTTCCTCCTTAAGGCTACACATTGAGATAGCCCATTCACATTTTTTTTCCCTTCACACAGACACATCAAGACCTGGATTTAATTTCACATGAAACCAGAAGTTTTTCAACAATATTTAGCTGTTCTGTCCCCAGCTCCCAAAGACCTAAACCATGCAGTTTTTACAGTGCTGTGAAACATCATGCAATCACAGATAACGTCAATGACAGATCTTATTTTGCAGCTAAGAGTTAAAAACTAAGCATTGATTTGCAAAACATTTTCTGATTATAAAAGTAGTTCAACATTTACATGCCAGTCACCTCTTGAATACCTGTGTCAAGCTATGTTAATCTTTTACTAGAGCACAATAAAACCCTGCCTCAAATATTTTTATGTAAAAAATATAAATTATATAAATATTGTGATAGGATATTTATATGATATCATATTTATATCATATATGATAAAAATAATCTAATTAGAACAAATCAGTTGGCTTGCATCTAACTGTGGCCTGTCAGACTCACTGCAAGCTGTGTGTCACTGAGGCACACAGGTGATTCTCTGGGTGTGCAAGTATGCAATTAATTCTAAATGTATCTAAGCTACTATAATAAATTTAAGAAGAGTGGTACTGTTACAGTACAGGGCTCTCTCCTTCAGGTCCTTCCCATAGAGGTTGTACTTCGCTGCTATGTAGCTGAGGATGGCTCTGGTCTGCACCATCTTCATCCCATCCATCTCCACCATGGGCACTTGCTGGAACAGCAGGGATCCACCTAAAGGGAAAGCCACACGTTATTCTGCTGGATCTAGTAACTCCGCATCAGATTTCTTGCTGTCTTCAGAAGATCATTACTTATATGGTGAGCTTGCTGTGGATAGTCATTACATTAAACTCGAGTTCGCCTATGCAAACCAAAAATTACAATGGTGCAGACAAATTAAACTGCAGAACACAATTATTGGGGATTAACATCCTTGCTTGAAAAAAATTTCACTGAAGTTGTAGTCAGGACTGTGTACAGCAGCTTTTATGCTGAAATTGAAATACACTGGAGACAATCCAACTAAACATATCAACTGAGTAAAAAGTGTCTAATTCTAAATACATTAAAAAAAAAATCTGTTCCATTATTTAAAACACAGTTGAAGCAAATGTCAGATTCCCAGATTTCTCTGTTATAATCAGTATCTTAGGCTAAATCAGGACATTGGATGAAGTTTTAGGATATGTTTTTTCAAGTTACTGAAGCCCAGGGTAAGACCGCGTGGGACACGTAGACAGACAGAGAACAGGACAACCCAGAGGCCTGGGAAACTCTCCAGGTTGAAGACACGTGTAATTTTCAATTTCATCTGTCCACATACGGGGAAAAAAACTGGCCTCTGCAGCTGTTCTCAGCTCTCAGTTTTACTCCCCTCTCTGCTGTGTGGAAAGAAAGTTCCACAGTCTTCAAAGTCTTGTCTTCACACGTCTTCTCTGAGACTAAGTTTGGTCACACTTTTCTTGAGGTTTCATGTGGACTCACCTTGCAGGAGCTTCTCATACTGCTCTCGGGTTTCTAAAAACTCTTCTTCAAACTGGCAAAAGAGAATGAAGAAGAGGAGGAAATAAGTGTCTTGCATCTTTTTGCATTTCTAGAACAGATAAACTTTATAAATATCATAAAAGGAAGAGAATATATGTCGTGGTTCCTTCCACTGTGTCTATATGGCTCAAAGGGAGAAATATCAAGGGCAGAAGCACTGGCAAAAGCTCGTGGGCAGTCACATCTGGCAAATACTGCTAAAGGCAACCCTAGCAGAAAAACAGTTAGAACTGGAGTGAGGACTGTTTGGCATTGAACAGGCAATTTACTGTGAGATAGTCAACAATTCAGGCTAGGCTGACCTTAAAATGCTTTCTGGTATGTGGAAAAAAAGGCTCTGCTGTGGGATATTTTGATTTGGGAGCTAGACAGGAACAAATTCTTAGAAATTTAAAACAAAGCTTTTAGAAAATAACGTAAAAGTACTATGCCCCGTAAGAAGTTTAGTACAGAAGCACGTTTAGGACACCTAAATATAAATTATTCACTAGATGAGAAAGAAAAAGATACATAATTGCCTGTGATCAGAATGAAGTAGTTATATTCAATATGGTTGAGGATGGCTGGTCCAATTAGTGCTACTTGCAGAGGAATTCAGTTCAAGATTAAGACACCAAATGTAGTTGTCTACATGTATATGTTTGCATGTGCCATACATGTCTATAGCTAATGTAGACTGTAGAGACCAGAAAATGATTGAGTTTATCAATCCCTAGGTGCCTAGCTATGGACTCCCAAGGATCCTTCCTCAGTCAACCTCTCTCAGAACATCTGTGCAACTTAAGTTAATAATTAAGACCTGCTATACTAGGGAAGCCCCAGAAGATTAGGCATACAAATACAGTGCCAGTGTTCAACCATAGTAAGTGTGATCAGAGTCTAAAATTGAGAACCCAAGTTTCTGCTGATGAAAAGCTGATAAAAGAACATCTCAGCAAAAATGTAATGATTGGTACCTGTCAAGAGTGGTTTTTTTTAATAAAAAAAAAAAAGAGAGAAAGAATTAAAACATAAGAACAAACAATGCAGAGAAGCAGCCAGTTGCGTTTTCTGTAAGGCCTTCAAATAAAGACTGGTGGTCTTTTTGAAAAACTTGTGTCCCTCAGCTCAGTACAGGAGTAACCATGTGAAGTATAATAGCCTATTATATAAAAGAGGACACTTGGAGCAACTACTAGTCCTTTCTGTCCTCAAACTGAATTATCAGTTTATCATCAAGATAAATATCAAATAAGTAAATATATCTCATCAAAAAAATACTTTAAAGTGATATCTTCCTTCTCTGGTTTACCCAAATATTTTTCTTCCTGCTCTGAGATTTCTAATTTCCCTACACATGTGGGTCAGTTTGCTCACTTCACCGTTAGGCCTCATCTAAATGATGCAAGTAAAACAAAATATATTTCGTGCTATAGCTTATTGTGGAGGATGCAGCCGGTGGAGTGAAAAATAAAATAAAAATCTGTGTGTGAGCATCTAACTGAAAACAGAAGGACTAAAGAAACTAACTTGGTTGCTGTTTTATTTGGTGCAGATAATTCTTATTATGCCAGGAACACATCTATCATTCAGCTCAACAGCTCTGGGTCAGTAATTGAATGCTTAATTAAGCATTATGCATTCTTGTATTAAGCAAGAAACTGGTTTACAGTGTCATGGCTCAGAAGACATGTAACTTGAAGCTGTAATTTGTGTGCCTCAAGTAAGAGCGTTTATTTATACTGAATAGCTAATGCTCATTTACTGCTACGTCTTGGGATGTCGTTTCTTTTTTGGTTAATAACCTGTGTTCTCCCTCAAAGCCAAGCTTACCAAGGTGCAGCTTAAAGTTAAAACCACAAAAAACAAACCTCGACCCCAGCTGCAGCTAACAACCAGCGAATTGACTCCATCTTGCCTCTTCCGTCAAAGTAGTAAAGCTTTGGTTTCCCAGCCATGACTTAAAACTTCTCATTACCTAAAATAGTTATAAAAGATAATAAGTTAATAATAATACAAAAATCTGATGGAAGCTGGAATAATGGTTCACAAGTCATTCACATTTAAGTTAATTTTTGACAAAACATTTCATCAAAGTTTCAGTCTAAACTGATTTGGTTTTACTGCTGCACAGTCAAGTCACAGTATTCCATTGTCTTTTCATTCCCCTAAAATTCAGGAAAAGTAAGTATCAAGTTGCTAAGTAGGAGATAAGAGAAATAAATAAAGTCATTTATAAGGAAATCCTTAAAATTTGTAGAAAATGTAAGTTTTAGCACTAGAGCTACTCAATCACCACTGAAAGCCAAGTTTTGATCAAAGGGGAGAAGAGGCAGTAGACAGGTTTTTCAAATCTCGCAGTCATTGTATCAAAGAATGCCAGAAGTCTCTAAACATTAGTTCTACTCATACTTAGGTGACTATGGGAACATGTTTTCAAAGCCTCTCACTTCTCTTTCTAGCTGTGGTGATCCAGGGTAAGGATGTGATACAGAATCAGTAGAAACTTCAAAAGAATGACCAGTTTCTTCTGTAATAAACCAGACTGAAATAAAAAAATTCAGATTGTTGCACTATTTATCCTTCTCCTGGTCACATTTCTTTCTATTAATAAACCCTGTTGCTAAGCAAAACTTTATAGATTTTTCAGTTAATCAGATACACCATGTTTTTGTAAGCAGCATTTTAGTTCTCGAATGGATTCATAAACAAGGCTATTAACTGTTATTTTTGAAAACACTAGTGTCTAGGTCTCAGCAGGAATTGGATTCCACTGTAAAGCCGTAAGCCAAGGAAGTATCAAACTTCATCATACTAGCATTTCATATGCAGAACTCCTTGCTGAAACTGAAAGCTGATTTCCCTGTGTACAGAGATTTCTTGTCACTCCAGTCAAGCAATCCTGGAAAAGAGGCTGTTGGCCTGCAAACAGTAACCTCCAGTTGCCCAAGTTGCAAGAGCTCCTTCATAAGCGGAGGGAAAAAGCGACCTTTGAAAGACCTTGAGCACACACAAGGCAAGCAATCCGCTTGTTAGCCAGCAAGCACAAAACCAGACCACAAAATAGGAGACTGCATCTGACCACAGGAATTCAAATAAGACAGGCTATTTGGCCCTTCACGTCTGCTTAGTGGCCTCCATTTCTTCTTAGGTAAGTCACTGGGAACTAAAATGTTGCAAAGTAGTATCTGCACTGCTAGTAAATATAACAGTGCATGAGAAAGTGAAAAAAAGACTAAAGTATCAGTGTGAATTACGTGAAAGAACAGAATGAAACAAGAGCTGCTTGTAATACAGCTAAATTCACAGAAGAATTAAAAAAGCAAAAGGTGAATTTAACCTTAAGTTTAAAAAAAAAAAAAAAAAAAGAAAACAGAAGAGCCACTTTTCTTCAGCGCACGTTCCTAAGACGTGCTCCTAGCAGGCCAGCTGACACGTCACAGGAGATAAGCCACTGTCGACAAGAGCACATCAAAGCAGCAAAGGTAAACGAAAGGTAAAGACATGGTGGATACCTGTCTTGTAAATATAGGGGGATGAACAAGCTTTGAGGCAAGTTGTAGCGTTCTGGTTCCTAAAACTGAGCCTGCCGGGCAATATCGGAAGAGAAAGTCCAACTTAGCAACTGAAATCTGATGAAAAGCGAGCACCCTGGGGATGTGCTCTCCATCCCTGCTCTTCTCACCAGGAGGGAAAACGGCAATTTGCAGCCAGGAGCCATGATCGCAGCTAGGCTGCTGGCCATTCCCTCCAGCCTGATATCTCAACAGCAGATGGGACACTGGGAAAAAAGGATCTGAATTTACTCCTTTCCTGTGATTTATGATGGCCATCTGGGCTAGCACGGGGAAATACCTGTGCAAGAAGTCACCGCTCCCACGCTAGCCACACAGACCAGAAGAACATTGGTGAAGAGGGCCAGGAGACCAGCTGGGCCTGGCGTATCCGGCAGATCCAGGACTCCAGGGTGAGATTTGCACTGTTTGCTTTCAGCAGCCCTCAGCCCAACAGCAGCCGCTCTTTTCTACCCACCATCACCTGGCACCAACCCGGGGGGAAAGTCCCCTACTCAGCGCGTCCTGGGCCATCAACTCCAACCTCTTCCACTCGCAACAAGCGCCTTGTAGACAAGAGATGAAGGGTGTTTGATGCTGTTAAATGGGGGGAGCCACCGTGCTGGTAGTTGGCGGTGGGGGGGAGGACTTGGAGGCAAAGAGCAGAACAGAGCAAGCTCTCGCGTAAGGGATGAGAAACGCTGGGGTGCGCCCTGCTTGTACGGGCGCCCGTGGAGCCCAGGGCGAGCAGCCCGTGACTAGTGAGGCCACCTCCCGGCCGGACACAAAACCCCCAAGCACACCTACGCAACTTTTAACTAGCGAGGCAGCAGTGCTTCCCGCCACAGGCCCCCGCAGGCCGCGGGCACCACTCGCCCACACTCAGCCACCACCCCGTGAGGAAACAACGAGCCGAGCCGAGCCGAGCCGAGCCGAGCCGGGCCGGGCCCAGCCGAAGGCCGCCGCGCACCCACCTGCCCCACCAGCAGCGGCGGCCACCGCCCCGCCCCGCTCCCAGTCGCGGCGCTACGAGGCGGTGACAAGCAGGACAGCAGCCAATAGGAAGAGTCTACTTTGCATATTTTCGCGAAGGCTTCTGGGAGACTCACTTAATTAAAAAAAACCTAAAGCCGCTAAAAAATTTCGAACTATTTTAGCCATAAACGTTTTGTCTGCAGCGAGAAGTGTTTCTGTGGCGTATATCCCCGAGTTTCTAGCAGCGGCGGCATCACCGTGAGGTGAAGAGGACTGGAATTATGGAGCCTTATATACCGCCGCGGACGGCTGGTTGTTTCGGATGTGAGGGCGATCTGGCTGCGACATCTGTCACCCCATTGATCGCCAGGGTTGATTCGGCTGATCTGGCTGGCTAGGCGGGTGTCCCCTTCCTCCCTCACCGCTCCATGTGCGTCCCTCCCGAAGCTGCGCGCTCGGTCGAAGAGGACGACCTTCCCCGATAGAGGCGTACCGTTCATCGGTCAAGGGTATACGGTAGCTGCGCTCCCCTGCTAGAACCTCCAAACAAGCTCAAGGTCCATTTGTAGGAGAACGTAGGGTAGTCAAGCTTCCAAGACTGCAGACACATCCAAGTGAGGCACTGCATGGGGCAGTCTGCCATTGTTTTGTGCCTCCCTCCCGCACCTTCCTTTCTTTGCACCGGGGTGGTTCAACGCTTACTTCCATTTTTCAATTTTTTCCATTATTATTTTCCATTTTTACTTCCCATTTTATTTATTACTTTTCCATATTTATTACTTTTCCTGCTGCCACCCCCCAGTCACCTACAAATCCTTGAGCATCTAGGACACCTTACACACACCCCAGTTACAATCTAGAGCCTTCACACCTGCAAATGTATTTTTCACCTAGTTCCTCACCCACTTGTTTTAAGCCCACTGGAACAGCTAGCTAAAGGGCAGTGTCCGTAAGTTACCAACTGTCTTCAGCTTCTACTGCCTTGAAAGCAGGACGACAAGGCTGAGAGGTGACACGAGACACCAAGAACACTTAGAATAAAATAGCTCAGTTGGAAGGGGCCTGCAATGATCATCTAGTCCAAGTGCCTGTCCTTCTTCCGAGGTGTTACGCAACTGCTGTTTTAATTCAGTGTTGCAGTTACTTTCAGAGGAGTTGACATCCAAGGACTGAAGTATTAACTCTACACAAAGCTCAAGGCCTATTGCAGAAATTACATGCTTAGACTCAAATCATGTGGCAAATGAACTTGCAGAAAGAGCACAGCTGCCAAGAGGTAGTACCCCTCTGAGAAGGCACCAAATGTAAGGTTTATTTAAAAAAAAAAAAAACAACCAAACATACAAACAACAAAATCCACAAGTACACAAACAAAAGCCAAACTAAAGTGCTTTTATTAAAATAAAACTGAATAAAAGATCCAGACTCAATTCAGTCAATATTTCTTCAAGACTAACTTTATTCTGGGCAGGAGACTTGACACTGAAGGAATGAAACAAACAAACATTTGTAACGTTTTTGAACAAAAGCACTGAATAAACAAGAACCGTTATTTCTTTACTCGCTCTGACAGTTCCACCCTCTCCTTCCATGTAAGTTCAAAAATGTTCTTTCAATACACGCTTTCTTCCTCACATTATGGAACATCTTACTCATACCAACAGCCTTATTAGCTACAGAAATACCAGGGAAGTAGGTTTTTGCTAACCTCATGGCACTTACCCAACACTTTAACAAAAATTTGGATTTCAGAGGTGAATGAGTCCACTACTAGGCTCCTTTATTTCCAACGGTCGTTATTACAAGTTATACATAAGCCTGAGAAAATGTAAACAGTAGAATTCTAAAAACATTTTGCATAAAGATGCTGCTAAATATTAAAACACATAGTAGTAGGTTATGTATAATAAATTCTCAGATATGCTGCTTGGCCAGATTTCAGTATAATAAAGACCTACATCTTTTCCATATCTGTATTGCACACTGAGACAGCACAGGAAAAATATATAGCTCAGTCAACTCAGTCCTTACTCAGAAAGAACTTTCCCAACTTCAGTAGGAACTTGCTTAAGTAATGGCTACAAGTGCCACCATTATACTTAGCTCATTTTCCGTTCCACTAAGTTAAATTTAGCAGAAGTGATTCTGAGTATCAAGATTATTAGCTTTTTTTCCAAAATAGAAGATTTAAATCTGGGGAAGGAGGAGATACGTCAAAAAAGATACTACTTCCTTCTCTAATCTTTTTGCTAGACTGACCAAATCCTGAAAGCTATAGTCAAGAAAACTACTGCAGGGCTGATAAAGGCTCTGAGATTGCAGGCCAGGTTCAGATTCATCCTCTACTGAACATGTCAAGTAGTCCCCATCCTTAGTGGAGGGACCCAGGTGTCTCCAGAGGGCTACTAAGTTCTCAGGTGAGCCAAATTTCTCTTGAGATGATTCTCACTCACCACTGGTTTAGAGTCAGCTTGCAGCAAAGGAGCTCGTGCTTATGTGCCTGAGATTAGGTAGGATGAATCCAAGCCCCAGCAGCCTCGTCTTGTGACTTGTTTGTCTCCTGCTTCCACTAGTAGGAATTAAGCATATGGAACAGACCAGTCAAATTGTCTACTTAGGTTCAGGGTGTTCCCTCGAGACCGATTACTCAGTGATAAAATAAATTAAATGATATCTAGACATAAATACAGATATTTATTTCCACCAAGAGAAACAACTATCTTTCCAGTTCTAACACAAATATACACACTTCCCTTTCCACTTACCCAAAGACACCATCAGTGTGTGCTTCAGAAATCAAATGGCCGCTTTAGTTTACTGCTGTGCACTGGCATCGCTGCTTTGGAAGCAGTTAAGTAAGGTTTGGAGTTAGTAATTGCTATGAACACATAAGAGTAGCTGGACACATAGCATCTCCTTGGCAGGTGTAAGTCTTACATGCATACTTTTTTTTTAATGCATAGACCCTTTGGCTCCCTTTTTGTCTTGTACTGTTTCACTGTGGACTGAGTCCATAAAAGCAAAGAGTGACCAGTGCTCCTCACGGTTCCCCCTGCAGCACTGAGCCAGCAGCCTACTCTAGGGTACAGTCTCTCCTCAGAGTCCCACACGTTCTCCACGGGACATACTGGGAAGGCCAGCATGCGTTACCAGTCTCCAGTCTCTAACGGGTGCGCCTTCTGGAGTACCAGCACATCCCACAGAGGATCTCAGCGACACGCTAGCCACGCAGCTCCTTCGAAACAGCCAGATGCCAAGAGCCATACCTGCTCTGATCCCTCCAGACTGGATTTAAGTGTCATAAATACACTACTTGCCCGATCTGTTCATAAACTGAGCTCAGAAAGGCGAGCATTTCTGTACACTTCTGCAGGAAGATGCATCTTCACAGCACACTTCAGCTTTGCTGGTGCTGTTCCAAAACGCAACTACCAGAGATGTTCTCCCACAGCACTGGACTGTTTTATCTTCCTTCTGTGTGCAGGAACAGCCGAATGCTGACTGGGATCTAAATGAATCTTTTGCTGGTGGCTGGACTCTGGCCACTCCTTTCCAGTGCAGAATTAAACCACACTGTGGGGCTATTTTCTCTTCTCTATTACCTGATAACTATTTTCTCTTATAAACTGAGTTAAACTGCTTTTCAAAGAGTTGTATCTGTTTCTGTGAAATCAACCAAAATTTTAGAATGTTTTTTTTAACAAGACCAGGTAAAGTCCCATTTTTCCCAGTAGAGACTGGGGGCCTAATTTACAGGAGCTGACATATTCTTCACATTGTAAGTGAAGATGTATTGAAGCGAAGAAGAACTGAAATAAGCTCAAACGGAGTCATTTCTTCTGGATTTTTTTTTTTCCAAAAGTGATTTAAAACAGCTGTGAAAATTAAGTCAGCTGCATAGATATTGTTTCCTTAAACTCTGCTGGCATATCATTAATACTTTGTTTCTCTGAAACCAGCTTTGTAATTGTTAATACTGTCCTAAAGATGTCTTCAGATCTTATTTTCCCAACAACAAAAAAAGAAACAGAATTTGATTCTTCTCCCTAGAAATCATTAGAACATTTAAATAAATTTAACAGAGGTAGGTCCACATTCTATTTCATAGTGAACAACTCCAAGAAGCAGCTTTGAAGCAGGACAAACAGCGCTGTCAGAAAACAGATCTGCAGAACAGTATTCACCCTTCATCAAACAAGACGATTCCCCAGATTTGGTAAAAGCAAAAGAATGGAGCTGGAAAGCTGGACAGCAGTCCAACGAAAACCTTTTAAAGGCAAAAATAAGTTAAAAAAAAAAAAAAAAGCCTCCTACTGACTTTCAGCAGTCTCTCAGTGACTGCAAAGGAGAGTTCAGACTGTCAGTCACTCACTCCTTTGATGTCAGTAGAAAGCAGAGGAGTGTAGGTCAACAGGAGCGTGGCATCAAGATGTGGTATCACTGAAATTATACAGCCTCATTTGGCACATAAACTTCAGAAAACGTCTAATGAATGCCCCTTTTTCAGTACTTCTCTTCCACTGCAATATTGCACCACTTTGTTTTTTTAACCCACTTCTATAAAAAAGTTGAATCTAATAAAGGGAAAGTTAAATTTTTAAAAAGTCTATTATAAAAATTTATCATATAAAAATGCCAAACTTCCTAAGCCATATATACAAAATGTATCAGGTTTATGAAAATAACTGGACCCAATTTTATAACAAAACAATTTTATACAAAAAGGTACAAGATTGCATTCAAATTAATACAAATAAAAGTAAAAAAAAAAAACAACTTCAAAATGTCTCATTCATAGAAGATCTGTTTCTTTTAAATTTACAGGTATAGAAAACAGTATCAAATTGTCTCATGTTAGCCATGGTTTCACGGGAAATACGCACTGGTTCAGAGAGCATTTCCACATGTCACCGGTGAGCGCCGTACTTTGCAGACCAGTCAACACGCCCGTGGATCGGCTGAGCCGGTGGTGGGAGAGGCATTAACCTTGGTGTGCTTTTTGTAGGTGAATTGAACGGTGGCTGCCCAAGATGGGGTCTTACTGACTTCAGAGAAGCATAATCTGAGGGACAAAAGAAAATGCCATGAGACAGAGGTTCAGTGAGTAGCTGTCTGCACTAAACAGAAACTGGATGCAGGTCCAGATCCTTATTTCTTCAGGAAACAAGCCTCCTTTTTTAATAGAATTTGCTGATGTAAAACAATGGTAAATCCAATCCCTAAAACCTTATCAGACAAGGAGTATTTATATAACTGATTTGACAAGTGTGAATTCTGTGCCAGCTCTCACACCAACCTCTAGGACCCACTGAAGTATGCTGTGGATAAAACCACGTTATTTCATAAACAAAGCAAAAATAAACCAAATCCTTCTCCATATGAAGTTCTGCAAGGTTATAAACTGTAGTTCCAGTCAGTCAAGTATTTACCAATAAAGTAAAGCAAAGGTAAGTAGTTCAGTGCTGCATATATACAGCATTACCAGTGCAATGAGCAAGGCACCAAGACAACTTGGGTACTATACTTACTAGAAGATGGATCCCCGACTGGTGCTAACTGAACCCTCTGCCCAGCAGAGCCTACTTCCTTCTTCAGAAACGAAGGGATATAACCACTGGTTAGACCGTTTGATCCTAGAGGCCCTGAAAGAAATGGCAAGGAACGTTTGAGCTCACCACAGTGGATCGCCCATACTATCAACAGATGACAAAGGTGAGCCCTGATGGGTCATATTCAAGATCAAGCCTAGTCACGGGCTGATGAAAACCAGAACTTAACTGAAGACACTAGAAATCCACAGATCCTATATATACCTGCATTCAGGAGACTGTCGGGATCAGACTGCACTAAAGATGAATGGAAAACAGATACAAATCATACTCTTAGAAGGGCAATTTCTTCTTCTCCCCGGCATCTCAGCTTTTTCAAGGTTTCTCAAAGCTTTCAAAACATAGTATTTCAGTTGGAATTATTCTGTTTGACTTTCAGCAACTGGATCCTATGAATACACTCATTCTTGATTCCATGCAGTGAGTCTGGGGCTCTGATGCTACACAAAGCTCCTACTGGCTTCAATAAGAACTTAACAGTAACAACTTAATAAATTGGGACAGATTCATGTTCCAAATCTGGAAACTCAGCCACAAAACTTGTCCCTAAGATGAGCAAGAACAGATCTGACTGACCTGTAGGATAAGCCATAGATATTGAAACAAAAATAGATATAAATAAGACAGTTTAAAGCCATAGAGCAGAGGGACACTAAATGAGTTAGCATGCACAGATCAGATCCATCACAAATATGCCTATAACGTACTAAAGCAGTAACACAGCGGCAAAGCATATTGTGGGAAGTGACGGTAATAAGGGAAAAAGGGAAAAATCTAATGATATCCTATGCAGCTACAAAAGAAGCAAAACACCTGTAGAAGAGCCAGGAAGGAGACATGTGCTACATATATAAAGATTCTCATGTAGTTTAGATATTCACAGCATCCTCCCATCTCGAACCTTTAAAGAACAATTTTCTGATTAAATTATTTCCAAAATTTTATATTTTTTATTTTTTAAAACGGAGTTTCTGGAGGCCCAAAATGTTTCTTTGGGACCAGATTCAACAGACATTTTCTCAAGAAACATTTTCATAACAACACATGCAAAACAAGTACTGCACTGCAGAATTGTAACATCACATGAAAACCTGAAGCCAAGAAAGATTTAGAGAGGAAATACATAGATACAATCTAGAAACATCAACATGTTTAAGTATATCTGGTAAAATCTAATGTAAAAAAAATCTATAAATTAATTACTTCAGATCAAATAATAGGGATTAAATACCTGAAATACCCCCAAAACCTGAAGAAGGAAAATGAAAGAGATTTGCTTTTTGCCTGATTTTTTTAAAGTTACAATCATTTAACTATTTTAAACTGTATCAATTAAAAGACATGATGATAGATGACAGATGTTATTTGCTTTATTCACATAACAAGAGTGGTGTGTAAGGCTAGTTCAATTTAGACCAGCTTCCTCCTCTGTGAGTCATTTATGCACCAGCTGAGCTAAAATAATTTGGAAATCTGAAAATATGACTTACAAAAAACTGATGAGGGAAACTGAAGGCAAGATGAAGCATTTCAGGTCGAACAGACCTAAGCTGTCCAACCTGCTACACACGTGGTACTTCAAACTGGACTTCTGGGGATTCATAAGAAGAAATTACTGTGTTTCAGTTTAAAGTAGTCTACAGTTCCAAGGAACAGTGCTCATAACTGATTTTGACAGGAAGAACAGACACAGTAACAAATATCTTTGGAGTTGACAATGTATTAGAAATGAGTGACCCCAAAATACAGCTGTCTGGAATGACAGAGACATCACCTACTGTCTTTTCTGAGTGTTAAGCACAGCTTCTTACCTGAATTCATCTTGTTAATACTTCCTCCCAAAGCAGAAGCTTTCCCAGGCAAACTGGAACTGGGCCAGGGATTAGACGGAACAGACTCTTTGTTCGAAGCGGAGACTACGCTATGCCTTGTGCATACTCCTATTGAAAAATGGAAAAATGACCACACTGAAATCTCTGCTGTTACACAGGCTTGCACTCATTCTATCTGATGCACAACCTCTGAGCGGATGCCCAGTTCAGTAAACTTAACCAAAAGCTTTTCCCTCTTAACACGCTACACCAAAGCATATTCCCACTATCAGTTAGCTTCTGTTGTTCGTAGTATTCATTCTGTCTGATTTACTGATCTGAGTTACCTGAGGTAAACATAGGGCACTTTCTTTTCCAGCCTAGAAGACCAGTCTTATTCCTCTCAGGGGAAGAGGGAATAGCTTGGCACATTAACACTTTCTATCATACTCTGAAGTATAAAAGAGTATCCAGCAGGAGGAAGTGCCATCAACAATCCTGTCCCCTTATTGTAAGCAGGATTTATCTCAGCTGCTAGAACGCAGTTTCTATCATGACTGTCTATATTAGCAAAGCTCTTGCTCTCCCCATTTTCTTTAAGCAGTAGCCCCCCTCCACAGGCTGAAAGGATAAAGCCTAATGAACCAATGACTATTTCACACTGCTGTTGGAATTACGGGAAGAAAAGGAAATAAGTATTTTTTACTAACCAGGTAGATACCTAGAATGCCTCAAGTAGTGTTGCTTTGCTGCAGAAACCCGCAATGTGGGAGTGTCCTGCCGTGGAAAGGTCACATGGGAAGGTGCACTGCTGCCAGAGCCTACAGCATCCGAAGGCTTCAGGTCCAAAATGCTTTCAAATCTATAACCCAAGAATTGCTACACTTAGTCCAATTCTTACAGCATATGTTTATCCACAGTTGGCCTTCTCATCTCCATCCCATCTCCAGGAATCATCTCCTCATACTATGTTTGCTACAGCATAAACACACAGACAACAGGGAATATTTTCAGCCTGAAAACATACAAGTGCCCCCGAAAAATCAGATTTGCACTTCTAGTTCCCTTACATATTGCTTTTAAAGTTTGTATAAATCGCTCGGGCGGTTTTTCTCTACTGTGTATGATCCATGGAAACTGCAGCTTAGAGTCACCCAAACCAGTTTATGTATGTGAAATATGTCAAAATGGTTCATATATGAAATATAAAGTATGTATTCAAAGATTAACTTGGAAAGACTTAAGCAAAGTATCATTTTCAGTAGGGAAAAATTAACAATTGTAGAGAAGGGTGCACTGTCCATCAAAAAACGTGTTGCAGTTCAAAAGTCAGCATTCAACATGCAGCCAAGGCAAAGCAGGAGAGAGACAAGCTGCATGTCCCTCACCAGCCTGGATATATGTTTTTAGATCCACAGAAATCCTGAAGAGCAACGTTATGAAAAAAGAGGGGAAGCCTACAGAAATAAGACCTTTAAATAGTACATGGACATAAAAGAAACCAACTTACCTACAAAGAGTTTCATCACTCTGCCTCTTCTTGGTTTTCAAGTCCATCCTTGTGACAGAAGATACAAAATCAAGGTCTTCCAAGTCATCCCAATCTTCAGAACTCTTCACTGTTCTAGCAAGATGTCCCCATCTTCGCCTAGTTTTTGGTTTAAGTTCACCATTTATATTTTCAGTTCCAGATGTTTTCTGTTATAAAGATTGAAAAGAAACAACCCCACACATTTACACCATAAACCTGGTGAAAGGAACAAAGAGGACTTTTTTTTTTCCTGTCTCAAAAAGTAATAGTGGTAGCAGAGCTGCAACAACAGAATTCTAATCTTTCATTAAATGTGCTGAGAACACAACCTGTAGCCTGTAGACATTAATACCTATCTTCTGCATTTCATTGTAATAAAGTATCTTGCACTGACAGAAGAGTACATTTCTAAGGTCTCAATTCCAATTCTATTTATATTTCACTACACACCTCTCAAACAATTAGCTCCCGCTCCATTTTTATTTCTTGGCCTATCTTGGGAGTACAAAACTGCACGCATGTTTATGTTTCCATAAGCCTGTGCCTAGACATTTAAAAATCCATTTTTCTTGGAGGACAGCATAGGTACAAATTTGTGACTCTTCAGCCATTTAAGCTCATCAGTACATTTAAACCTTGTGCAACTCTGTACAGGGCCAGTACAGACCCTACTTAAGACTAATCAATCTCTTTGCAGCAGCATTCACACTGTCTGCTCTCATCATCTATCTTACGAATCCAGTCTCCTTATATAACCAACAGAAATGGTAAGTTCTTATGCTGAAAGAAGAATCTGTTGTTTTCTGTGGCCAGTATAGAAGCCCAAAGGGATTATTATTCCCAGTCACACAAATTGGATGCCTTAAACAGATAGGCAATAGTCCCACTACCCCTCATTTCAGTACTATTTAGCTTAATACTTTTATCTCTGGCATCAATCCCATTAATATTCTGATCACCATACATCCTTTTTATTTGTATGAAATCACAGTGCCATCCTTTAAGTGGTGCTTTACAATAAAGTGAATAATAAAATGTCTTTGAAATGAGAAATCAAGTTGCTTGTTTTACAGCAATTGCATTTAGATTTCAACAGTAACTCGCAGTTTTTAGCAGAAAGTTGTAACTACTCTTTATTCCCATTTCCTGTCCTTTTAATAAAGTATAAGAACCTTGAAAAAGAACAAGAAAAAGAAACACAATTAAGGAAAAACCAGGCAGTATATCAGGAAGTGTATCTTATGCTAGATGGACCTTTACCTGCTGAGGAACCTTATTGTGAATTGCAGGCAGAAGAACCTGGTTAGACTTGTCCTCCTGTAAGTAGTTACTGTGCTCAGCCCCAGAGTTGTCTGTCTTATATGGGTACACCAAGTGCTGAGAAGACTGGCTTTGTTGAAAAGGCCTTGACGAAATGCGGGTGTGAGGTTTCGGAGGGGGTTGTGCTGGAGGGACAGGCTTCATATGCAGAGACGATTTATTATGCAGTTCCTTTTGTCTCCCCAGTTCCTGAACAGCCAGGGTATGCCCAACGTGGAAGTACGGATATCGAAGTGCCTAAAACATAATGAAGATGTTAGGATCCAACTCAGGAGACCAAAGTTTTTAACGTACCCTAGCCCTATTTAATTTCCTTCTTTCTGGGGTGGGAAACAGAAGACCCATCTCTCAACACTAGATTCTAGTGAGCACAACCCACTTCAGAATAATGCTGCAATGGTAGAAAAGTTTCAAGAGATACCAAGTTATCAAATCTTCTGTGGGCTTGGACAAAAAGAAAAGAATCTGCAAAAGTAAGATACTTAACCAGGGATACAGCATGTTTCATTATGTGCTGTCTCGTCCTGTGTGTGTGTGCAAGTGCACGTGCAAACACATGCACAACTGTCATCACAGATTCAGCCATCAAGACGTGAATGACCTCAGAGACATCCCATCCCTTCCACTCTCTAGTTCCAACACTGAATCAAGTGAAAGAAATCTTTTGAAAATTAGCCTCTCTCTTTTTTGGAAGACGCATTGGTAAAAATATCTTTCTCCTGCCTTACAAGTTATTAAGGAGTGTTGTCAGTAAAGGCAATTCATCTCTGCCCATCCTCCTGTTTCAGGTATACTCATCTTCCCTTCCCAAAGACCTCTCACTGCAAAATGCTTCTAAAAGCTTGGATTCCTCACCATATTTGTACCTTACTGTAAAACATTTGTTCATGGCTCTTAATACCAAGTTGTAGTCAGTATTTTTTCCTTTTCATTACCTTTGAGAGTTCTTAATCTTAAGAGTGCTGAGACTGCCCTGCAAACTGCCTTGTATAAGATAGCTTTATCCAGGCAACGCTGGGCTGGATGACCAGACAGTGAGGGGAACTGAACGCTGGCTGAATGGCCAGGCCCAGAGGGTGGTGATCAGTGGAACAAAGTCTGGTTGGAGGCCAGCAGGTATCGGTGCATCTCAGAGGTCAATACTGGGACAAATACTGTTCAACATCTCCATTAATGACATCTATGGTGGTGCAGAGTGCACCCTCAGCAAGTTTGCTGGTGACACAAAACTGGAAGGAGTGGCTGACACACCAGAAGGTTGTGCTGCCATCCAGAGGGACCTCAACCGGGTGAAGAAACGGGCTGACAGGAACTTCATGAAGCTCAACAAGGAAAAGTGAAAAGTTCTACATCTTGGGAGAACAACTCCATGCATCAGTACATGCTGAAGGCCACTCAGCTGGAAATCAGCTTTGCAGAAAAGGACCTCATAGACACCAAGCTGAACATGAGCTACCAGTATGCCCTTGCTGCAAATAAGGTTAATGGTATCCTGGGCTGTATGAGCAGGAGTGTTGTCAGCAGGTCAAGGGTGGTGATCTTTCCCCTCTGCTCAGCACTGGTGAGGCCACACCTGGAGCACTGTCTCCAGTTTTGGGCTCCTGGCAGAAGAGAGATGGGTATAATGGAGAGAGTCCAGCAAAAGGCTATGAAGTTGATTAAAGGACCAGAACATCTCACATATGAGGGAAGACAAGAGAGCTGGGACTGTTCAGCCTGGAAGAGATAATGTTCAGGGGGATTTTATCAAAGTATGTGAATACCCGAAGGGAAGGTGTAAAGAAGATGGAGCAAGGCTCTCTTCAGTGGTGCCCAGTGAAAAGGCCAAAGGCAATAGGCACAGACTGAAACACAGGAGGTTTCCTCCAAACATCAGGAAACTTTTTTACTGTGAGGGTGACTGAGCACTGGCACATGTTGCCTAAGGCAGGAGGGTTGGACCAGATGACCTCCAGAGGTCCCTCCCAACCTCAACCATTCCGTGATTCTGTGGCACACATCAGCAGCAATGAAAGAATGGCATCACAGCCTTCAGCCATACATCCTACCTTCACCCTGCTGATACTCACAGTGACTGGATCATAGTTAATCCAGGTGTACCTCCACACACTGCAGTCACACACTAGATCACTGAGCACACCCCCCATGCAGCTCATGTTGCATGCAAAAGACTGATTACTCCCTTTTAATCACCCCCCCCCCCTTTGTTTTGAAAAGTGATCTTGGCTTCTGTTCTTCTCCCTTCTAAGAACTGCACCCCTGAAATGACTGTTTATACAAGGTGGCTTGCAGTGCAAGGAAGAGTCATTATCAGATGTGAGAAAAAGAATACAAAACCAAACCTGACTAGCCGTTGGCCGCTTTTTGGGGTCCCATTGCAGCATGTCTCTCATGAGCTGCACCGCTTCACTGCTAGCATTAGGTATGAGGGTTTTTAAGTTGTTAGGTATACACTGAGGCCACCGAAAATTCATGGAGGCTGAAAGTTGGTAACCTTCAGGCCAGTCGTTCTGAAAGAATGAGATTTCCAATCAAAGAAAGTTCAGCTGTAAAATATCATAGTGCCAAAGTACACTAGCATATATCCTCCTATCAGTAACAGACTGACTGCATCCAGCTTACTCTAGACTATATTAAAGATTGCACTAGAAATTTTCACCTCAAACCTCTGGTGAGAGGTAAGTCTTGTTTTACATCCAACCACATCAAAGGCACAGATGGAATCAGAAGACAGGAGCCTTACCATGATTCTAATTTCTAGCCTCTTAAACCATCAGTTTATACACAATAAGCAAGAGAAAATGCAACTTCTGCCTAATTAAATTACAGTCTAATGACCTTGCTTGCTGTTCGGGGGTCTATTTCTCCTCTTCTAAATGTCAGGTTTTATAGCATAATTACATAATGCTTATTTCACAGAAAGGAAGTTTTCATTTAGCTTACTAGATCCAAGATCAACACCATACAATAGTAGCAAGTGTGAAAATTGATTATTTTTATGCTTACTGCTATTGTGCCATTCTGTATTGTAGAACATCTCTAGTATTACTGCAGTGTGGAATGTCACTTTACCTTCTTTGGCGTCCCCAAGACTTGGCAAATTTTGAATATAGTATCAATTTCACTGGCACCTGGGAAGAGAGGCCTCAGTGTATAAACTTCTGCCATTATACAACCAACAGCCCAAATATCTATGGGAGAACTATAGCTGGTAGATCTCAGAAGGACTTCAGGAGCCCTGTACCTGTAAGAAAACAAAACAAAACAAAAAATCCCACCAATCAACACAATTCGAACAGGCATACATGAAACCATTCAGTTCTTCATTCTTTGCTGTTAAGAGCAAACATCCCTTAAAAAGCTCCTATCCTCTCCTATCCTACACATAAGACTTCATTTTTTTTCTAGAATGAAGAATGAAAACGTACATAAGCTCTTGTAAGCTCCCTTATGTCTTCCTGACATGCAACAATCGCATCAAGTCCCACCTGCTTTATCAGCCTCTCCCTTTTTTCCTGTCTTGCTGCCATCTTGCACCAACTGAAGCTTTTCAAATTATTCCAAGCTTAAATAAAAGTTTCATAAAAAGGAGGTATCAAAAGTGGTGTCACATTCAGCACAAATTTAATACTTCTTTAAAGGCTTGATTCACACAACGTAGGCGAATACTAGCACTTACCATCTTGTGGATACATAATCAGTGTAAGGAGGTCTAGATCGGATTTCTCGGGCTAAGCCAAAGTCTGCTATTTTCACAAGTTCTGGTCCCATGCAAAGCAGGTTTTCAGGTTTCAAGTCTCTGTGAAAGAACCCTAAAATTCAAATGAAATATTGATGTGCATTGCAATGCCACCTCCAACTGCAGCCTTTATTTTCCACCTGGATAGTTTTGCCTCAGTTCTTACTGCTGAAGCCTGAATAGCACAATGCAGAGTTCAAAGTCTTACGTGATCAACTGAGCTAGTCAGTACAATGGTTGTTCAGTCAGACTGTGACAATTCAGAGCATTCAGTCAGATAGCTCCCTTTCAAGTGACACTTCTTTAACATAAAAATATTGACATCATTTCAGTGTTAGTTTCATACCAATTGTATTGGAAACTGTGCAACGAAGACATGAAAGGCGTTACTTCAGAAGTTCTTCTAAACATAATACAAATTAAAACATGAGGTAATTTTTATGCACTTTAAAACGTCTTTTTTAAATCTGAGAACAAAATAATCTGCAAGAACTCAGTTACCCATTGCCCTGTCAGACAGAGGATCTCAGCATATTTTTCTAGTGCTCTCTGCATTCAGCAAAACTTTATCACAAATGAGCATTTGGCAAGAGTTCTTTCAATACAAATGAGAGAAGAGGGCTAATATTACCGACTACTGCCTCTGAAATTTACTTCCACCTCTAGTTTGGAAAACTCGTCCTTCTGCTTCTTTCTTGCAGGCATCCGAGACCCCTGATTTCTATATACAGCTCCCTCTGTATAGAGGGCCCTCTACCTTACTAGAGCTCTATGACCTCCTTTTCAGAGACATTCCAACACGCTTATTTTTTTCCATGTCCTTGAATATGGTCTCACAGAGAACAGAATAAACATTCACATAGAACGTGTCTACATTGTCCAGTATAATTATATTAACTTTTGTTTGTTAGATTAATGTGTAACAGCATTGAAGACACAGTACTGTAAATTTCTACCAACCAGATTACATCCTTCCTAGAGATATTAAGTAGGTATTTTGGTGCCAGCTTGAACTTCTGTCTCTTTATAGAGGGTACCAGACAGAGCAATCAAAGTTCTTTTCAGCATTTAGTACAATCACTTCCGTATTTTGCTGCACAGATGTGCGATGCACCCACAGAATGCTTCTGAGGCAATTTATTTCATGGCAAATTTATAAAAAGAGCAATTGATTGTGTATTCAAACATAAAAAGATGCTTAGAGTTTGGATGGACAGAGAACATAAAAGGTTTACTTGGCAAGTGTTCCTATGCTATACAGGACTAGAATAGAGAAATAGAAGAGAGGGAAAAAACATTAACGTGATTTTTCCAAATCTGTTGCAGAAAGAATTTTGGGACACCCAGTCTTACACTGTGAGACACAAGACTATCAAGACCATCCTGTCAGGCTTGCCATGAATTTCCAGATCTTTGTAACCACAGACTTGCAACATCTTGGCAGAAGATTCAGTCTAGTGTGTAGCAGGTCAATGAACAAGACAGTTTTGACACAAAATTCTTCATTCTTTATAGCCATAGTAAGTTAAATAACAATTAAAGGTATTATGAAAGGTTGTGATTCACTTGACAATTTCTTTTAAAAAGGTGGCTTAGATTTTTGGAAATAAATCCTGTTATTTTTCTAGTTTTAAATATTCTGTGTCTCACTGGAACAGACTGGAATTTCTAGTTTGGTTTCAGACGAGTATTCAAGCCCCATCAGAATAAAGAATAAAGCCATTATCTTGAAAATGCTTTGCAAAACAAAGTTAAATGTGTTCTTCAAATGAACTGAAATGGTGGGTCCTGCAAGCCTTTCAGTCCTAGGACTTTGGCCGCTGACGTTAGTTCTCTTCTGATAACCCTGAGACCTGATCAACAACATACACCACAGTGTATTTAGCAGGCAGAATTGCAGAGGGCAGCAAAACATGGTGAGGAAGTTATCATTAAAATAAGTAACTTTTTTTATGATTTAAGTGGTTCTTGTTACTACTGGCTGGCACACCAGCTTTAGCTTTTATCATTATTGTAAAGATTAGTTGAAAGCCCTTGCAATGAAAGCTGTTTGTCACTCAGACTTTATTACTTTAAGTGTATCTTACAGGGAAGGTGCATTTTATTCAGGTATCTGTGTGTACCTTGAGAGAAGAGTAACTTTTGCTTTATTCTCAATCTCAGGGGACCTCTAAATCTACCAAGAAATGGGCCCATTAACATCAGATGAGTTTTAGAAAGTGGTCAGCTGCCAGTTTGAGAAAGTAGAAATCTACAGAAAAGGAACTGAGGAAACCTCCAGACTAAAATACCAGGTAACTATAAAATATGGATATTTTCAGTAATCTGAATCTCTCACGTAGTGCCATTCTTTTGATAGTCACTTCACTAACTTTAGTAATGTAGTTGTTAGTGTACTCTTTGAAAATCTTACATAGACACTATCTTGCTCTAATTCAAAATGTTTCCTGCTAAAACATAACTTACCATGCTTATGGATAAACGCAAGCCCTTGCAGGATCTGATACATAATATTCCTAACTGTCGACTCAGGGAACAGTCTGTTCCTGTGGGATAAAAGGGAAGATACAAATATTATTAAGCTCACACATTAGCTTATGCTATCTAATGAACCAAAGACAAAAGGTAACAATGACAATAAAACTGCTAGATATATTTTAAGCACTGTCATGTAGGTTTTTTCTTCAAAAAACTTTACACAGTATTTGCAGAGCTGCCATATCACATGATACTAAGATTATGTGGCATCATGTTAAGATTATGTGGGACAGTGAATTACAAAAGGTGAAAAAAATAAAAGAAAAAGAGAATTGGTGAAACTGAACAAACCTTAACATGTACAAGTCATGAGGTACGATCCCCAAGACAGCAAGGGTTCACATTAATTTAGTGCTTTTCATGAACAGTTTCTTCTGGCCTCTCTTCTAGAGCATATACAAGGCATATTCTTGACCTTCCCTTATTATTTAACAACTGATGTGCTACTTCTTTCTCTTCTGATATCTGAAAAAACAGTCTCATTTGCTACCACTGAAAACAAGAGGCTCTTCTTATAATATTCAGGCAACATCAGCCATGGCAGGAATTTTAATGATAGCCCCCTTACCAAGAGAGGATTCTGATCAAACAGCTCTGCACCAACTGCCTCTGAGAACGCCAAAACACAGTTGGGGTGGAAATCAGTGACAATTTTATTCAAAAAAAGCTGAACGGTGAATGAAGAAGATGGCTTGGGCCTTATTCAACTTCCTGAACCTGATTCCTCTCAAAAAAACTGACCAACACCTATTTCAGAAAAGCTATTGGAGTCAGCTTTCCATACTTGCTTATTCTTTTAATTACAGCAGAAAGAGAGTCATATTGCCTCTACAATCCCTTCCAGTAAGACTAAGACTTAAGTAAATAAATCACATTCTTAAAAGTTTGATTTATACAGTATCTAATCAGTCCAAGGCCTAGCTAAACCATAGAGAATATGATGTGCAGCACACTTTTACGGACATCTGCCCTTATTGTTTTTGTAAGGAGGTAGGATATATCAAGCATTTCTAAGAAATTCATAAAGATAATTGGTTTGTATGTTATGCACTTGAACCATTTTCTCAAAATTCATCATTTCATATAATTAAAAATCAGCATCCATATATATGTGCCCAATTTAAAGTTGTTCTATGCCTGTGCATGCATAAGTATTTTTTTGCTTAAGAAGGTATTTTATGCAGTATTCACAGAGATCTGTTATAACAATAACCTTACTTTGTTAAATCAAGTAAGATTACTGTCATCTCCCAGGCTGATTTTATGGTCCATAGAGAGAAAATGGCCTCCTCGGAGAGCAATTCAAAACAGGGAGCTATTTTGCTCCAAATTATCCTCTGAAGGATGCTATCATGGCCCAAGGGATAAAAATAAGAGTTCACTCATGCTCCAGCAAATATCAAAAAGCTAGATTGTATTGAGAATACTGACAAATAAAACAGGCAGTCTTTGGACTTGTCAGTTCAAATTGCAAGGAAAAAAAAGTTCCTAGAAGCAATCCAGAATCTGATCCCTCATGACTACCATTTCGACCACTTGTTATTTATTCATTTATCTGAGGAAGCCATAACAGAAGAGCTGGTGATACCACTCCCTAATAGAAAAAGCATTGCTGGTTGCAGTACTTACCTAGAAATCTAAAGTTCTAGGTTCAATGACTCCTCAGCGTGAAGGCTGTTAAAAGTCCACAGTTCCTAACTCTCAAGAGAGTGCCCTAATCTGCCAGGCTAATCTGCAAAAAGACACTGGAAACTCCCACTAAACTGCCTGGGATATGCTCAGAGGTGACAGCCACAGCTCCTACTGCAGCACACAGCTTTAAGCCATAGTGATCTAAGCCTAAACAAATGATCCAAAGTCCTTTGAAAAGTAACAGGGGTGTTAAAAGTACATTATGCAAGTAATTAATTTATATCAGGAACGGGTGATGCTGTTACATACCTTTCTTTCATTAACTGATAGAGATTTTCCTTCATGTATTCAAACACGAAATACAGATGATCATTTTCCCTGATAACTTCTTTCAGCTTTACTATATTTGCATGGTTCAATTTCTTCAAAGACTAGAAACAGAAAACACAAACAGGATTTTACAAGGATCTTACTCCAACGAAAAATAAAAAAAAACTATTCACTGATGCAGAAGACTTGGCTTCAAAAACTCTTAAATATTTTAAATAATCAGACAGCTCTAAGAATGAAGACCAGATATCTCCAGGTATTACCAGATCTATATACAGCATATGTATCAATTTAATGCACCAGTCATTCAAAAGCCAGCTATCTGGCATCACAGTAAGCACCAAAACAATCTCATTTTCTCCTTGAGTAACTTCCTACTGGCAGAATTCACACTCTTTCTTGTACTTGCACTGGCAATAGTCAGGCTAGACTCAGGACTAAATGTAACCCTGGGAACTCTTCCCTGGTATTGTGGATTAACCCTGGTGGGCAGCTGAGCTCGTTCACCCCCTCCAGTGGGATACAGGAGAGAATCAGAAGGGCAGAAAGTGAGAAAACTCATGGGTTGAGACAAAAACAGGTTAAAGCTAAAGCAAAAGCTGCACAGGCAAGCAAAGTCAAATAAGGAATTCGTTCACTGCTTCCCATCACCAGGCAGGTGTTCAGCCATCTCCAGGAAAGCAGGGATTCATCACACCTAACAGTTACTTGGGAAAACAAATGCTGTAATTCTGAATGTCCCCCCCTTCCTCCTTCTTCTCCAGCTTTTATTGCTGAGCACAATGTCATATGGGACTTCCCTTTGGTCAGTTGGGGTCAGCTGTCCTGGCTGTGTCCCCTCCCAGCCTCTGGCCCAGCCTCAGCCTACTCACTGGCAGGGAAGTGTGAAAAACAGAGGCGGCTTGAGGCTGTGCAAGCACTGCTCAGCAATAACTAAAACACTCTGGGTTATCAAAACTGTTTTGGTCACAAATCTAAAACATTGACCCATACAAGTAGCTGTGAAGAAAATTAACTCTATCCCAGACAAAAATCAGCATACTGGGGTCCTACTTCTCCCTTTTTAGATTTTCAGTGTACTTTACATTCATTCAAAAGTGACCTACGTTTTCTGTATGTTTGTTACAGTGATAGCAAGGACTAGAAATTAAGGGAGGTCGTTAGAACATACCCCTAAAGCTTTGTTGATGTCAGAATTTCATGCTAAATGTCTGCCCCCAGACCAACTATCCAGAAACAACTGCCTGTACAAAGGTTACTGCTGTGCAAAAGGCATGTGTTCTCAAGCTCTGAAAAACAAACACCCATCAATTCCAGGTTTTGGTGATAGGAAAGCTCTCTCACTCAGACACCACTCACAGCGAGGAGGAAGCAGCTCTCTACAACCAAATGATTTTTTGTATGACTACAGAACCTTAACAAGAATTTTTGTGAGACTACAGACACCCCATTCAAATGCAGAGCCAGGAAACAGAACTGTAATGCCATATGTCGCAGCTCATGTTGGGGGGAGTTTTTGATAAAAAGGATGGAAAGAATTTAATGTTACTCCGAAGTCCAACAGGGATCGTCTAATCTGAAGTCAACCATTGAATGAAACAAGTACCTTAACCTCTCGAAGGTTCATGCATTCCTCCCAGGAATAAAACTTTCTCTTCATTCTACAATAGTAGAGGGGAAAAAAACGATTAATACGTGGTCAACATCAGCTGCTCTTAGATCCGTAAGTGTCATTATATCTGAACAATTCAGTTCTTCCATCCAAATATAAGGTGTTATCTCCTTTGTCAAAAAACTTTACATCTCTAGACAAGGTAAACTCTAATAGCATTTAGAAGCATTACTATTACACAGGATTTCCTCTTTTTATATATATATGTATCTATATATATATCTTGCTGCAAAAATTTCAGAGCCTTCAAGTCAGAGCATTCTATTTTTCTTTCCAGTATACAGTGTGGTGGAGTAGAGTCCAACTGTAAAAAGAACAAGGGTTATGACAGTTATGAACAACTCAGACTAAGTTTTGAAACAAATCTAATGAAGACCAAACTAAATCACTTCACTGGGTCTCCAATTTTATCATATTCCTCTTGCTACTCTTCCCTATATTTTGATTTCTCTGTAATTTCAATACCCTTCCCCTCTACATTGCGTTTCTTAATTTTCCAGTGTCTACTGCTCCCCATGTTTCTCCCTTGCAAGTTGCATCTATCATGCAAACTGCTTTCCTTTGAAGTTTATAAACAACTCTGCTCTAACAGAATAAAACTTCATGGCAGATGTTTTTTCCCAAGCCAGAATATAACACTGAACACAGTATTTGTGTGTAACTATGGCCCTATTTGTTCATATGCAATTTGGTTATGATGCAGTTCTTTCACACATAACCCTGTGCTTTAGGACCAACAGGATGAAGGTTCACATGTACACATACACACACACAAAGAGCACAGATTAAATCTACAAAAAATACCCAACTGCTTGGAGTCTGGATTTCAGAGGGAAGTTAGGCACCCTTTGAAGATCTGAGTTCTTTGTCAGACTTTAATAATAATTCAGTATTACTTATTATTGTACTAAGTTTCCAGTTTGAAATTAACTCTTATAATAGTTTAAAAACTACAAGCCCTTCATTTTATGAAGGGGTCTGGATTATTTTTTTTGTTTAAGCAGTGGTTTTGCAGTTGTGGTCAGCCATCAAGCCATTTCTATTCTTAATAACTGACTGGCATTAATGTGTAAGCTAAGAAAGTACCATCTTTTGGTTTGTTCTGAAATTTTTGAGTGTCTAACATGTTGCAAAATGAAAAATCAAAGCTGCCTCTGACAAGGTTTGATACAAGAAAAATACCCTTAGCACAGAGGATTTAGAAAGTTGCTAAAGCCAGCTATTGACTGTTCATACAAAACAGCATTGTACTGAAAGTTCTTTTGACAAGTATGTCCCTGGGTCATGGTCAGTATTTCAGGAAGGTGCCTGCAATGCTTTACAGCTGTCTCTCACCACAACTAGGACTAGGAAGCCATTTACAAACTGAGGTCACTGATGAAGTGGCAGAGAAAATCAAGCAGATTTCTCAAGGAATTTTCAGAAACTCTTAAGCTGAAAAGACCGATATGTAATAGCACATAAAGATATAGATAATGGACAAAGAGATCCATTGTGTTAACTATCATGGCGGTATTTATATTTTGCTTGAAATCAGACCATAAGGTGTATGTGCCTTGTAATCAGCAGGGAAGGGGCTGCAGATTCCAAAGCAGCATTGCAGAATACCCTAAATAACAGACATAATACACGTTTGAGTGCACGTAGTAGCAGAGCACTGTTAGAATAAGCCTACATATCTCACCCTCTTTATCTTCTGCTGGGGCTCTGGAGGATACAAGGAACTTGAACTGCCCCAATACAACTCCAAATACAAATGTCGCGTAGAACATGAAGCACTCAAACCAGCATGGCTGGGTGACGCAGACCATAGAATGGAAAAACCTGGACCATCCATTGTTAAGTAACAAGTGAAAATACTTACTTTTTAATGGCTATTAGCTCTCCAGATTCAATGCTTCTCCCTAGGAGAACAGAGCCGTAGGTCCCATCACCAAGCTGTCTGATTGTTGTGTACCTATTCATGATGAGGATACTTTAGCTGCAAGCGCATTTCAGTCCTTAGTGTTTCTTGTGTTTCTTCTCCGAGTGTAACCAGTTCTTTCTGTGGCAGCATAAATATAGAGCACTCAGGACAGTGTGAACAGTTGCAGGAATCATGTTTTCAAGACTTAGCCTTTGGTCTGAAAGCACAGAACATAATTTGTTTGATTTCTGTACCCTTCTGAGATTGATTGTTTGAAGAATCTACTCTCCTCCCAGAGATATTCCTTGTGAGCTATACATAAACACTTGTCTTGGTCTCTCACCAGAAAGGGCCAGCCTGTATCTGGACCTAACTGGGTATGTTCCCCAAATCCACTCTTACGCTAAAGCTAGAGGTACTTTAGAGCAGGCTTGCAGGCAGCCCTAATAGGAGAAAGAATTACTAAAAGCAGAGGGTAAAAGTCTCATAGCTTGGAGAAAATAGATTGCTCTCAGAAAAATGAAGCACTACAGTAAGATAGGATGGAATCTGTTCTAGTCAAATTATCAGACATGTAAGTCACAATCTCTCAAGTCATACTGCCATCAGTTAAACCAATTTCCTGACTTTCCGTAAGGTCCTATGCCAGAGATATGCTAAAGATATAGCCAAGTGTATTCCCTTAAACAGTCTTCAGAAGAAGAATACTATATTAATGTCAGATAAGATCAAATGTATTTCACTACAGTATGCATGAATCAGTCTCTAGAAGTAGCAGGTACATCAGTTCATCTATCCGACCTTTTGTCCTGACACTGCACAAACAACAGGGTGCTAGATAAAAAAACAAAAAAGTTATTATTCCCTCATTTAATCTAACTGTTGCTAGACTTCAGTTTAGAACAAATGTGATCTATTCTACATAAATTAACCTGCATTGAGGGTTTGATCCCTGCATTCTCTTTTTCTCCAGCTCTAAGAGGACAGTAATATTCTGGTATAAAAAATAGCTGGTGACTTTTGCCTTCTATAACCTGCATTAAACTACATTTCCACAATTCTTTTTTTTTTTTTTTTTGTAGCAGCCTTAAATCTTACATCTCCATCTTGCCTTATTTCACAAAGCCAAATTATGATTTTAAAAGTAATGGGATTATGTTGCTTGAACTCTGAACTGACATCAGTGCAGAGCCACAATCGTGTAGATGCAAGATGCTGTGAAGGTCCTCTGGTTTTCAGTCTTCTAAGCCTATTAGTTCCACAAAGATGGATGCAGAAACAAATAAAAATGAGGAAATATGATGTTAATACACCTTTTGACGATTTTATACACCATGTATGAAAAAGAAACAGCACATCTCTAACACTATCTTAGACACTGGGTACTGTCTCAAACAGGCAGGAAGAATTGTCCCCTAGCAGTACCTGTTTCTCTCCACACACTACTACACAGAACCATGACTGAGCACATTAAAGTGAAGACCTAATCCCACTTTTTGTACTGCTTGCCAAGGAGCACGGAGCCTGTCCATAAGAATGGCACTTTGGAGCACCAGTTTCTTTTTGGTTTTGGTTTTGTTTTTTCTTCAGGCTGTGCACCTGCATAGCATAAAGCCATGTTAGGGCAACATTCTGCACCCAAGTTAAAAAGCTTTGGTTACTCCAGCTGGTCAACAACTGGATGGCAACTCAGAAGCCTCAGCTCCCAGGCCTTTATCTAGATCCTCGGTAAAAATTTCAAACAACAACAAAGCCTTGCATGGTCTCCTAGTCCAAAAACGTAGTATTTATTAGTATCCAAACAAAGAATTTTATACGATAACTTAAATTCAAAACAGATGGGATTTGTGGATTTTTTAGTACATATTCCCCTAATGACAGAGTTCTGAAATTGTAATCACAACAGATGCAATAGCCTACAATTCACAGACCATTATGCTGCCCCTAGTTTATCATTCACATATCCCTTCCCAGGGAACTGTGACTGCAGAGTGGAGGAGCATTTCTGCATCATGTTTAATAACCACAGCAAACCATAAGATGCATAACTGCTAGCACATGACACTGCTACTTATAATCAGCAATGGCTCTCATAACTAGATCGCTTGTCTGATGTCTCTTGAATAGATGAAGTGGCAAACGTAACTGCTTATTCCTTACTGGGGATACTAATTTAAGCCCCTCTCCTTTCCACAGACATCAATTTTCACAAAACTTGTAAGAAATTATCTTTGTGATTCCAGATCTGCTGTTGAACCAAAACAGACAAGTTAACTGAAATATTTTTGAGGCATAAAGGGGAGGCAAAGAACCTAGTAAGGAAATAAGTCAGAAAATACAGATTTCAGTATGGAATGCATGTTAAAAAACGTATCAGGATGAACAGAAGTTAACATGGCTCCTATGGGAGCACAAATACACCTGTACAAAAAGCCACTAAGCAAAACCAAAATAAAGTCTTTGGTTAATTAAAACAGTACAATTTCTTGATGAATTTAAAACAGATTTTAAAGAACAACTTCACTATTACTTTGCAAGATTTGTGTTCTGTCCTTATCATCTTCTGCTATCTCTCACCTTCAACTGTGGGAATACACTAAACCTTAGCCTGCAAACTGTTTCACCTAAGTATCCCCACTGAAATCAGTGAAAAGAGCACGTGTCTCTGACAAGCAGTTTGCAGAGCTACATGTCCGATCTAGTCTAGATTCTAGTCTAGAACTACAATCTAGGCAAATTTACATCATTAGAGGATGTAAACAGAAACTGAAAAACTGTCTTTGAGTAAAAGAATGTGTTGATTCTAAATAGAAAAAAGTAAAGGCCTTATTTTCATCATATTGTATCACCATGTTTCGATTCTACCTCACTTGTATTTTTTTTTCCAGATATCAACCAGCAAAGCCCCTTTACAAGCAAGCCTAATGTAATGGATCAAGACTATCTTCTGACTCTAAGTGTAACTCATACTTACTATTTTGCTTATGTACGCTTTAAGGTAAGTACCTGCTCCCGTTCGAAGGGCTGCAGCACTGAGAACTGAAAGTGAAACTGGCTCACTCTCTGCCAAAGCTGAGAAACGCAAGCAGCAGACAATCAGCAAGCGCCTTTTAAAATTTGTTCTGTGCTTTGGTAGTAACCTGAAGGTGTTACTAGTGGGATGCACAGAGAAAGGCGTGGTTTAACGCCGCGGGTTTCAATCGATGCTGCCCCAGCAGCTGCTCTTTATGCTCGTTAGCAAAGGCTCCGGGGGCGCGCCGCGACCTGCAACCCAAGGCAGGAGCATCGGGAGGGCCCGGGGCGGCGACCCACCGCGCGCGCCTGCCCGCCACGACACGCGGGGTCGCGGCGCCCTCCCGGCCTTCACGCCCAGGCGGTGAGCGGTTCCAGCCGCGGCGCCGGCACACGCGAGGAACCCCGCTCCCCTCACTCGTCGCGCTAAAACACTGCTCCCACCCCCCGGCCCAGGGCTCCCCGCGGCGTGGGCGGGCGGGAGCGGCTCCCGGGGCGGCCATCACCGCGCCCAGCGGTACTCACGGCCTTCGGCTTTTCCCTCCGGCGGCCGCCGCGCCAGAGGCCGCTAATGGCGGCGCTGCGGCCGAGCCGCCCCCGGCGGCCGCCACCGCGGCCCCTCGGCGCAGCCGCCGCCGCCCCGGACGAGCTGCGGCCCCGGGCCGCGCCCCCGGCCCCGGGCGGGCTCCCCGCAGGGGGATAACGCCCCACGACAGCGACCGAGCGGGCCGCTAGGCCGGGGCCCCGCTCCCCTCCCCTCCGGCCGGCCGGTCCCCCGGCGGGGGACCCGGTCCTCCGGGCAGGGTTTAAGGGTTTCCCCCCAAAAGCGGGCGGCTGTCAGGGGGAAGAGGCAAGGGGACAGCCGGGCAGCACAGCACCGCTGCTGCCAGAGAAGGGACTGTGGCTGAGCTGGGCTGTAACGTAATTAAAAATAATAAAAACTCCTCAATAAATGGCCTCTCTCGCATCCCTGAGAAGAGTTTAAATAACAAAACTGGTTTAAATAACAAAACTGGAATGCAGAAATACCCAGTGGTGAATGCCCAGCAAGAATATCGACGTTTTAACTGCAGCCCAGAGGGACTGAGCCTTCCTCACTTGAGCACCAGAAGCTCTCCCCAGCTCTAGCGGGGTCAGGTTATGACACACAGGGTGTGCAGGAACTGGGAAATGAGGAACAAAAAAATTGGGCTCAAGCAGTTGATCATCAGATCCAACTGCAATAATGATTCGACAAATCCTAGCTTATTATTATACTTCTTCATTTAGGTTTTAGAAGTAAAGCACTGAGTTACTTCCTGATGCTTGCAAGCCTCAGGGGATGTTATGTCAGTGAATTCTACAGTGAAATACACTTATTTGACAAGACATTAATTCGTTAAAAGAGGTGTGAAGGAACTCCAAAAATCCCTGGATGCCTCAACCCCCCCATATCTAAGGAGGCTGGTCTTTGGAACATTTACATTTCTTAAAAAAAGAATAATAAGAGAATTAAATTCCCTCCTCGGGACATGCATGACTCTCAGTGAAGCCAGAGGGAGCAGCGCACACTTAGTCAGAAGAGACTGATGCTTTAAGCCATCCCTATTCTATCTCACATGCATAAACACTTATTAGTACGCAGCCCAGTGACAGCTGTAGTACTCTGGTTTTCTGTTGCTACAGGCAGGGCTTCATTGCCTCCAGAAGAGACACACACGCAGGCAGGAGAAAAGCGTGGCAGCTTTGACTCCAACCCCAAACAAGCAGTAGCATTAAAAATAACCAGAGGTATCCATGATAAACATCTCAAAACCTCGGCGGCACTGCTGTTACCTCAGCTATTCACACAGGGCCCACCAGTGCGCCACGCCGGCACCCGGAGGCTTCCCCCAGCCCTCCCACCCCCACCGCCCAGCCAGGGAGCGGCACCCCATCCGTCAGACAGCCCCCTCGCCGCCCACGCTCCACGCTCCCCGCTCCACAGAGCGGCCCTACAGCCATCGGGATTTGAAACCCACCACTGGTGCCAGTTCCCGCAGCCCCTGCATCCCCTCCGGCCACAGCCGCCTTCCCCACGGGCTGCTCCTGCTGCCCGAGCCTCAGCCCTTCTCCAGAACAGACACGTACCTCCTTTCGCTCCTAAAAAACATTCCGGGCGGTAGATATGGGTAAGGGTTCACAGGTCACCCATATGCGTGGTTTTCTTCTGGAAAACAGACTGTAATACAGTTGTAAAAAATGGTTTTAGTCCTACTTTATGAGGTATACAGACAGTATACATACAGAGAGTCATATAATGACTGTTCACGGAGCTGAGGAGGCACAGTACAAGGGACCACGAGATTCACATGATCTCAACTACATTATTATCTATACAGCTGCGGTACTAACCGCTCCTTTGTTACCCGGTTTTGAATCTGTCTGCAACGAGGCCCCGGTCTGACCACGGTCGCAGCGGAAATGGCGGCTCCCACACCGAGCCCCGCTCCTGCTGACACCGGGCCGAGGGGCCGCACCGAGGGGGCGGGAGGCCGTCCCGGGGGCCCGGACATGGCCGCCTTTCCCCGGCTCCCGCACCCGAACCGGCAGCGGAGAGCCGGGCCGGGCTTCAAGCGCGGCAGCGGAGGCCGGACGCAACGGCAAACCCTGCGGGGCGGCGAGGCCATCTGCTGGGCGGGCCGCCCGGGGGGGGGTGGGGGACTACACTTCCCGGCAGCCTCCGCTCCGCCGCCGGGCAGGACGGGCCCGGGGGGCGCAGCCGGCGCGGCCGCAGCCCACGGGAGTGTCGGCCGGGGACTACGCTTCCCAGCAGGCAGCGCGCCGCACCGCGGCAAGCGGGAGAGCCGCCGCGGGGCCGCGGTGCACGCTGGGGCGGGTAGTCCGCGCTGCCAGCGCCCGCGCCTGCGAGCGGCCCGTGCGTCGGGCGGCGCTCCGACCTTGCGGGTTTGTCTGGTCGCGTGTCTCCGCTGCTCCCGGCCCGCCTGCCCCTCACTCGCCGGGAAGATGGCTGCCGTACGCAGGGCCCGCAGTTACTCCCGCTGCGTGGTGCGCTTCTCCGACCGAGAACTCTGCTAATTTTCCCCCCCTCCGCGGGGAGGAAACACGGACCGAGCGGGGAGGGGGGGGGCCCAGACCCCCGGGACGGGACAGCGCCGCCTGAGCGCCGGCAGCATGGTGAGCGGGACGGCCGGGCCCTGCTCCCCGCCGCGGCCTGGGCCGGGGGGAGGCGGTGGCGGGGGGGGGGGGGGGGGGGGGGGCTCGGCAGCCGCGGCAGGTGCAGACGGAGGGCGGCCCGTCCCCGCCCCGCCGCCGCCGGGGGGCTTGGGAGGGGCGGGAGGAGCGGCCCCCTCGCCGTGCCGCCGGCGGTGCCACCGGGAAGTGTGCCGCCGTCCCGGCCCTCATCCTGCCCCGGGGTCGCTGCTCCGCAAGGAGGCATCGACCGTCTTCCGCAGAGGGTTTTGGGCTGGCGAGTGGGGCTGCTTGCTTCAGGACCGATGTAGCTGTCCCTAGAGACACCCGGACAAATCCCTGTGTCATCACAGATTAGCGTGCCCTACCTTTCCCTGGCTTTCCTCAAGAAAGCAGATGGCATAAAGTCACTTGGTAACGTAAACGTAAACTTACTTGAGTTTGTGATTTAAGGTATCAGAAATGTTGTTTGGTTCAGTATTGCCTTTCTGACTGCACCTCGATATGGATTGAAGTATCCATGATGAGAACTTGGTGATTTGAAGTTAACCCATTTATATTATTCAAGAGCTCTTAAAACGCTTTACCGCTGTGTTTAAAACTGTTATTTTTGAACACAGTGTTGCTTCTACCACACTGGCAGAAATACGGAGTGACTTCCTTATTTTCTTATAAAGCCAAGAAGAATGTTAGCTGTCAGTCACCGTTTTGCTGTGTCGTGCTTGCTTCTCCCTTAGTTCTGTACAGTTCACATGTAGCCCCGTTCAACTGGTGACAGTCAACTTTGAACTGTTTCTGATCTTGACATTGTTTTGCTGAAACAAAGATCTGAACTGTTAAAGGACTTGACATTACAGTTTAGTAAGTGATTGTTGTGCTCTGAGGAAATCAGCGTGCGACTGTTGATTGCAAAACAACTAAAACTAAGCTGTGCAAATAAACTAGTTTTCCATGTGGCAGATGATTTCTAAAGCTTTGCAAACAAATCAGAATCAGATTATTCTGCTGACTTCTTTTTACAGGTTGCAGTCTAATTCAGATGTTTACCTTTGACATATTGACCTTTTGGTGACTTGACTGGCTACCACTTTTCTCATGAGCTGATTATTTGAGCTGATCAGTACACACTACGGATGTCTCAGTTTCAAGCAGGATAGTCACTGTTCCATGTGACAGCTGGCTTGTAGCAGGAGGAAGGGCAATGGCATAAAGATGAACAGGCTAGATTTATCCACTAAGTAGTGGTTACAGTATAATGTTCTGTGAACTTTAGAAACTATAGCTACAATTTAAGTATTGTCAGAGTGGTGGCAAGGAGCCAGTTTATGCAAGTTACAACCTGGTGTGGTCTGGTGAATTGTCTGCTAGTGAAAATCCTTGCTTCAGCCGTACCTGTGTTTAGTCATTTGTTCTAGGAAAACCGTAGGGTTTCATCAGATCAAATAAATAGCAGAAAAGTTGTAAATAGAGATCAATTTTCCAGTCGAGTTAGCCGTACAGTAGCAATGTGAATGAATTGTTTTACTGGTAAATGTAGAGAGATGGTCACTTACGCTGACCCTGCTGCCAGAAGACAAACCTTTGATATGAGAGACTTCAGATCACACATGCATTCAGTATAGAGGAGGTAATGTCAGAACTCAAAACTTTGGTTGTAAACAGCTTCATGATGTTTTTTGACAGCTTTTAGGCTGTGGACTAGGTCTTCATAGTATGGTATGGTGTATTTTTTGTTTGAATCGAGAGCATATTTAAGATTTAAAGAGCATTGAATGACATTTAGGAAGCAGTTGGTCCAGAACCATGACTAACTGTGACTCAGAAATGAAGGAGAAATAGAGCACAGAGGTGAGGGGAGGAAAATCAAGACCCTTGAACAGATTACCAAAACACAGAGTTTTTGAGCAGAAGGTAAACTTCAGCCAGCTTCATAGCCTTCTAAATAATTTTAACTCTTAATTTATTTACAGACTTCACAAGTTAAATGGGCGTGCCTTTATGCACAAGAAGATAGGGTGTTGATTTAGTTTATAAATTACTAGTTTCTGCAGTTTGCAGATAAAACCAGGCTTGTTCTGCCCAGACTGAGAGCTGGCTGGACATAAGTGAGCTACAAGCCAAATGCCTTGAACTCTGTGCAGGCAGAGGTAGGCCTTATTTGTGTCAGCCCAGTGCCATAATAATGCACTTAAAGACATCCATTTCAGTGCTGGCTTGCTCCTGGGCTATCTCTGTTTGGCCAGCATAGACATAATCCCTAGATGCTAAAATAAAATGGTAGGACTGTAACTGCTAGGACATTAACTGCCTGCAATCAAATTCTGGAATCAAAACCCATGAAAGTTCTAACTAATTTATTTCTTGCTCAGATTTATTGTTGCTGGCGCTTTGGAGCGTTTGGTTTACCTGTTTTCTTCACCAAGAAATTAAAAATGTACAGCCTTAAAATCAGAGGGTAGAAACAGATACAGTATCTGTTTGCTTTAACCAACCAACACTATCTGCATTATCGATTGTAAAACATAAATTGACTGAGACAGCAGTGAAAACACATTTACGGATGACGAGCCAGTAACTTTGTGGTCATCTGGAGAACCAGAGTGCTGCAGCTGAACTCTGGGAGGTGCTTGTCATCAAGACAAAGAGATTAAACGTTGCCTTCCCAACAGGTTTGCCAGTGTTCTGTAGTTTGATCATGAACTTCCAGATGCTATGAAAATTTTATAAATTTTCTGAATACAAGAATGCTTTGATTTCTGCACTTTGATTGTGCCGGAGATAGAAATTTCTTTACAAGAACTTGGAAGAATCTCACTGACAGAATGTCACTTGAAGTCCTTGAGCACTATCTACAATAGGAAGGATTGGGAAACAAAACTTCTGTAAGTAGCTGTCGTAATCTTAATGCCAGGTTTACCTTTTTATAATCTGACTTTGCATTATGTACTTGCAGAACTATAGATGTGAATTTCAGCACAGAATGGTAGGAAAACTGGGATGATTTAGCTGCAGGAAGAACTGTAAACAAATGGCTTAGTCTTTGTTAAGGTTTTTTTTCCCTGATGGGCATCTTGCTGCTGTTGTTATTTTAGTGGTTCGTCACTGATGCTCAGGATTAGTTTTCCTTTGTTTTAGTATAGATTCCAGAAATCTCAGTATATTTCACAATGAGAATTCATTTGTGTCTTTTTTTAAGTTTTGCTCTTAAACTAACTGTCTAATTCCTATGTAGAGCACTCTTAAGTTTAGTTAGAGTTTTTATTTAAGGTCTTATTTGTTTAATCTGCCTCACAGTAGTACTGTAAATAAAACCAGCTGTCAAGCTCTCATGCTAGCTTTTTATTTCTTTTACAATACATTTCTTGTTTAGTTTCACATGTAGTTTTTGAGATTGCCCATATTGTCCTATAATTTTCATAAAGTATCTATTGTTAGGCAAAGCACGAGTCTTTTGTGCTTTTGTAAATATTAAGCAAATCAAAACTACTGGTTATCTTTAAGATGAGAAGATAGTGATTAAATTTTAATTTCTTGTATGAAGCACACTACTGTTTAATACTGAATCTTTGGTTCTGTGCTTTGACTTGGACACTGAGTGTATTTATTCAGGTATTATGGCAGTGTACTGATGCGCGTAAGCCTTCAAGGGATATGGAACTAATCTGTGTTGGATTGATGTGACTGAAATGCTAAACCAAACTTCACTGGGTTAATAGGGAAGTGCAACAATCCAATAATTGTAAGATTAATTTTTATCATTAATTAAGATTGATCTCTGGGGTAGGTGGGTAGGATGGGGAAAAGAGGAATACACTTACATTTCTTTGAATGTGTGTCCATGACAGTTGTGCTTCGTGAATGTGCTTAGGGACTTATGCAGACTCTATAATCACATCTGACTGCTCTCTACTAGGCAGAAGCTGAAGAAGATTGTCATTCTGATTTGGTAAGAACCGATGACAATGAAAGATCTGGTGAAGCAAATCTTCAGGTATGTCTCTCATGCTAGCATTTTTTTACAAACATAATACTGCTGTGATTTAAGCTGCATTACTTGTGCTCATTTAGTTACCACACATTTGTCGATCTGACAAATGCTTAATCTGTCTGCCTTTCCAAAAGTGAAATAGATTAATTTTGCATTGTGTTCCCAAGCGTCAAATTCAGTCTTTGGTTATCTGAGTAGATGAAAAGAAGGTTTGTGGCAAATTTGGAATTTCTTTGAAGAGCTATAGAAAATGGACAGCAGTTTCTGTATGGATCAATTTCCAGTTTAAGTTGTCACTCTCTTTTGGAGCAGAAAGTTGATAAAAGCAGTCTTAATAGAAAAGTGTGCTTTCTTACAATACTAGATTTCTGTGTAGTTGCTCCCCAGAAGTTGTGATGATTACAAGAGGCGTGCAAAGTGTAACTTCAAAGATCCTGAAAAAAATGCATGGCAAGAATTATAGCTTGTCTCGTTTCATAGAGCACAGTC